ACCATTCTATGATTCTTTGAATTTTTTTTTTTCCCAAAAAAATGCTGTGTGTTGTTGAATTGATTTAATTGTTAAAATGTTTTATAACTGTAAAGCTAAGTCATGCAGCTCTGCTAAAATTGCACTGAAACAAGGAACAGTTAACTTTCTGAATGAATAACCTTGCACCATTCAGAGAATAATATCCTGCAGCCAACACTTCCCTTTGACTGTTTATGTAGGTCTTTAGAGCACTGGAGAGACCAAAATAAGACAGAATAGGAAATAAACCATAGAAGTTAACCTGACAATATTATAAATTAAGCATGAGCCACAGCTCAATTAAACTGATCACAGAAATCAAGGAAGGAGTCACTGGACTTGCCCTGTTTTGTGTGCAAAGCAAGAATTGAAATTTGGATAAAATGGAAATAAAATATCCCAATCAGCTGAGTTTACAGGGAAGACAAATGCAGAGAAAATTACTAAGAACCTAAAAACAATAAAGTTAGTGCTATTAACTGCAACTGCAAGGAAGATGTTTTAGGAGGTAAAACCAAACCAAAAATGTACAACCCAGTCAAAAGGCAGAATAAAATTTTCAGCTATCTACAATTTACTGCTTGCAGTGAGAAACACTGTAATAAAAAGAGCTTAGATACAGTCGTTAAAGTTTGTTTTCAAGGGGTTTAAACTGCATGTGCACCAGCGACTAACACACAGGGCTAACACTTCCCAAATCCCCCCGGCAGCTGCAGCGACACCGTAGGTGGTCTGAGGGCTGTTTCAGAGAGTGGCGTAACCATGAAGAATGCCAATGTGATGCCTGCCCACGGTCTGTTATGTTATAGCGGGCTGCATGGTCTAGAATGCCAAACATACCATTTTTCCTTGGAAATTAACAGATTCACAAACTGGAAAACCCCCTCCCCACACCCAGACACTGCATAATGACCCAAATACGGGAGCAACTCAGAAATTTAACCAGTTCACTAACTACAGGCCACACACTGATGTGTTACTGTTTACAAGCTATTTACCTGGTACGAAGCAAAAGTAATTGCACAACAGCTTAACGATGAATTAGTCTTTAGCAGACCACATGCACAACGAATCTAAATTCGACAAAGTACGAAACCTTAGCCTAATCTTCAATACAAACTGCCTTGGGAAAAAAGAATAACTGACCCAGTTACTCTTTCCACTGAAGTTTACTTCTGCCTGACCCTAAAAGTTACAGTTTTTAATTTTAAATTCAGCTAGTAAATTCTTCAGTTCCCCAAGTATCACAGATGGTAGTGAACCACTAAGAAGTGACAATCAACCACTACTACACATGCCACATCTATTACATTTTTTAGTAACAACAAGCCATTGTGATCTTAAATGCTTATTTAACATCAAGTCGGAAGAAGGTCTGACATCACTACTTCCCTGGAAGTGTCCAAGGCCAGGCTGGATGAGGCTTGGAGCAACCTGGGCTATGGAAGGTGTCCCTGCCCATGGCAGGGGGGTTGGAACTGGATGATCTTTAAGGTCCCTTCCAACCCAAACCATCCTGTGATTCTGTATTAGCTCACAGTAGAGAGTATCAGCATTTTGCACTGTATAAATGGCATAAATGGTTGTCTACAAAAATGTCACTGGTCTCTGCTAGCAGTGGCAACACTAAAAATAGGTTACAAGACCTTAGCTTGTCCGATTTTTCTCACTTAAGCAGTAAGTAACTGCAACTTTTCCCCTATCTCCACCATATCTCTATTAATGGTCACTACAAGAGGAGTTAAACAAGGAACTCAAACCCCAGAAGGCTTGGCAAAGGGGAGCATGGATTAATTTGACCCTTACAAAGTCTTACCTAAGTAGATAAAAACCAGACCTTGAAGCACAGCACCACCTCACAGATGTGTTATCATAAACTGAGGTAACACTAGGTATCACCACCTCCCACTCAGACATTGATGTGAATCTCGGCTTCCAGATTTTCCTGCAGTAAAACTTCTATTCACTCAAATTGTGTGAAAAAGTCATTTTGTCTGTTCTGATTGAACATTTTTGTCTTTTAACTGAAGATGCTTTTCTTATATTGTCAATTACACTCATTATCTAGCTCATTATATTAATGACGTTTTACTGTGTTACCTGCTATTCACCTCCCCTCGAAGTGAAAAACACTGCTGTGCAGCAAACACCCAGCACTCTGCTTCCTGCACCAGGTACCCCATGTCCCTGAACACATCCAAGGGGGTTTATAGCATCTAATTCCCAGTGATGTGCCTCAACTTACTTTTGGCAACATTGGTGTATCTCTCTTCTTCTTCTTTTCTGAATTAGGATCGTCCAGCAAATCTGGCTCAAAAGTGTAGAGCTCTGTAAGTTCATTCATAGTAAAATGACGCTCAACTTGCTGTTGGTCGACAACCCGGAACGACAGTGACTGCTTCGTTACCTGACGATCATAGATCTTATCTTCCATCGTTCCCTAAAAAATGAAGATGCTCGTTTTATACAAATCCTGGACCACCTTCTCATACAGGGGAAAAAACAGTAATAGCTATAAAGGAGCTGAATAACAACGTAACAGTGCTCTATTTTCCTCATTTCTTTGACCCCGTATCTACAAAGTTACCTGAAAACACTTTGTTTGCTGAGAAAAAAAGAAAAAACCCCTCCTGGGAGCAAACACACAGTAATACAAATGGTGCACATGTTATCTAGCTACCAGCCAGAGTAAGAAATGGATTTTTTCTGTAGTATTTTGAAAAGCTCCATGTTTGCTTCAATCCCCCAAATTAAGATATGACCAAAAAATGGCAATTTCCACAGCATGTACCTTATTTTGCTGCTTTGAGCAGCCTGTAAAAAGGCAAACAGATACAGTATCACTGGGGGGGGAGAGGGGAAGCAGTCAAGTCTAATTCATCACAGCTGTGTATGAAAAAAATAAGATCTTTGATGAAAAAAGGCAAAATGACATTTTAGTTAAAAAAAAAGATGACTGTGAAAAGTATGAGAACAGCACAGCCTGTTCTGAACATCCTAATTTAAAAAGGATATCACCAGTTCAAAAGTGCACATAGAAAATTGCAAAAATAGACTAAAGCCTGAAGAAAAAAACCCATGTCTGACAGTAATGTGTTACAAAAAGTAATCTATTTAAGTTGGCAAATAGAGACTTGATCAAGTCAACTGGGAAAAGGTCTTCAGGCTACTCTGTAACACCTGAAGGCCTAGAAGATGATGCAAGATACTTCCTATCAGAAATACTGGCATTATACCTTAAAAAAGCATCAGTGACCATCAGAATTATTACCCATCTTTAATATTTGCAGGGTGCAATACAAGCTTACAAATCATAAGTGGATGTCTCCTTATAAACAATTATTGATCTGCCTGTGCAGATCTGCTACAGGTCTGTAGCAGCCAGCTACAGTCAGCAAGCTTATTGCCAAATGACAACCATCCCCTGTGCAGCTTATTTGTAGTGGTGTGCAAATTAAGAAAGCTGAGAACACTACTCTGAGTCTGGATGTAAGAATCACTGCTAGAATTCCAGAATCTGTGCTACACAAAGTGTTGGATGAGATGGGCTTAACAAGAAATAATTTCACTTGCTATTCATTTTACCAATCCCGCCCTCAAGAGCTTTTTCAGTGTCAAACTCTGCTGTCAGATTGGGGCTGGAAGATGACTGCATCAGTGTGGACCACTACAGACTTCAACAAAAGTCCAAACAGCCTACCAATTTGATTGCAGGAGCAGAATATCACAAGAATATCAGACTCAAACCTACCTGAGCCAAAAACCTGTACACAAACACAGGTTTGTTCTGCCCGAAGCGGTAAACCCTGAAAATACTCTGGATGTCATACGATGGGTTCCAAGAAGCATCAAAGATGATGACTCTATTAGCAGCCACAAGGTTAATTCCGAGGGAACCTGCTTTAGTGGATATAATAAACAAGCGGCCTCTGGAATAGAGAAAAGTTGCAAAATTTTAGTATTTTGGAAAAAAGCTATTGTCCCATGTTGCTGTGTTATTATGGAGTGTTCATGCCCTGAAATAACTCAAAAACTTCATTAGCATACTGTACTAGGCATAAAACAGATGCAGATTTTACATGGACAACACTTTTTAGCAAAACATTCACTCCCAAAAATAGAGATCAGAGACTTTGCAAATCAACTGTTAACGAAAACTTATGGCTAAGAAAAAAAGTTTTGGTTTGCATGTTCAAGCTCTAACAAAATTAGCTATATCAAATTAAACCGTAATTTTAAACAGGCACATCCCATGCCATTGAAATGGTTTCTTGGCTAGTAAGCTTTCTGGCTAACTCTAGAGTGACACCGTCTCTTTGATGTACCTGTTTCTTTTTTGAGTAACATCTCACTCAGGTTCAACCTAAAATGAGCTCCTGACAGAATAAACATACCTACCCACATTGCCCAGAGCACCTGTGGATGCCCCATCCCTAGAAGTGTCCAAGGCCAGGCTGGATGAGGCTTGGAGCAACCTGGGCTAGTGCAAGGTGTCCCTGCCCATGGCAGGGGGGTTGGAACTGGATGATCTTTAAGGTCCCTTCCAACCCAAACCATTCTGTGATTCTATTATTCACATCAGACTTGAGAGTCCCAACGTATACAAACAGAGGATGGCTGGGAGACAATTCTGCAGACAGCTAGCAGAGCTATATGCCTCTGACCGGCCAAGTGACTGCTGTCTCCAGGCCAGACTCCACAGAGCTCTGACCTTCCTAGGTCCTTATATCCTTTTAACTAATTGTAATAAAAGACTGTCTCTGACCCAAATTGCTTACAATCTAAACAAGAATGAAAAGGGCAAGGAAACACTGAGCAAGTATTGCTAAGTACTAATGGAAGTAACCTCAGTAGAGCAGAAGCCTATTGTTGCATGTTTTTTGTTCAAGCTCTGCACCTGAGAGTGATACTTATTTGGTGAGCCTTAAGGGGTCATTAAACTGATACAAGTAACAGAGACATAGGGAACAAGAGAAGGAGGGGAAATAAAGCATATATGTATCAGAAGAGATCTCACCGCACATTAGTTTCATCATTAAATTCCTCAGCCCATTTCTTTCTTGACTGAGCTGTAGTTGAACCATCGAGGCGATAGTAATCAATGTTTCTGAACCACTTGCCTTCACCTGTAAATGTACGTAACAGTCACATTATTAAGATGCTGATTGTGTAAGTAACTGATAATACTGGATATACACAACTAGACAGTAAGAAAACAAATATGGAACGTAATTTTAAAACAATGAGAGAGGATCAGAGGTTACTCGGGATGGAGAACATTTCTGGAGAATACAGGTGCTTCCACAGGCACGCCTTGGAAATTACATAGTGAAGCTTGTGTAACAAAAATGAAATACGTAACACAACAGAAAGTAACAGCAGTTACATCTGTGGTGACAGTGACCATCCACAAGTCTGCAATGGCTCCCACAGGCCCTAAACCAATTTTGTCTGAAGTGATTAAAAAACAGATAAATGTTGTCAATCTCCTTTTACCTTACAAAAAGTACCCAGCATCTCTCACTATACATTTCTTCCTAAGATTTTGTTATTTTTTTAACAACAACAACAAAAAAAATCAACTGCTAATAAATGAAACTCCTCAAAGCAGTTTTATACTCACTGGAATTTAAAGGTATGAACTTGTAATCAAATTATGCTCCAAGATGTGCTGGGTTCAGCTGGGATAGAGTTTATTTCCTTCACAGTAGCTGGTATGGGGCTGTGGCTTGGATCTGTGCTGGAAACAGTGCTGATAACCCAGGGACTGAGCAGTGCTGACACAGAGTGAAAGCCTTTTCTGCTCCTCACACCCTCCCCCCTCCAGCCAGTGGGCTCGGGATGCACAGGAAGCTGGGAGGGGACACAGCCGGGACAGCTGACCCACGCTGACCAAAGGGATACACCCAGACACCGTGGGGTGTCATGCTCAGCATGTCAAGCTGGGGAAGGAGGAAGAAGCGGGGGATGATTTCTTTCAAATTCATTCCCTTCGGACTCAATAGAGACTTGTAAAAGAGTTATTACCTTTGCAACTGTTCAAGGTGACACTCACCTTTATAAATAGGAGGCTTCTCTTTGTCAGTTTTCTCCCTGTTGGCCAGCTCCAGAAAATCTTCTATCAAATCCAGCGATATTAGGGACTGGCTAAACACTAGGCTGAAAACAGAAACAGGAAAACACAAAGTTCACCTCTGAGGTTACTTTAATCATTGTATTGCTTTGCCTTTCTTCCCTCCTCACTGATAATACCTTTGAAACCAGACACAGAGTAAGGCTTGGGTGGAGTACATGCATGTATGGGAAAACTCAGTGATAACAATGAATGCAGCACACAGGTTTGCTTCAGAAAACTGAGCCATGGCATTAGGAAGACTGAATGAAGAACACTGTCAGTCTAATGTTTTTATAAGGTCATTAAAAGTATTTCCAGAACTGACTTACACTTTGTCTCCAAGCTCCTCTGCCATTCGAAGAATTTCAAAGAGAAGCACCATCTTCCCAGAATGTTCCAGCACTTCAGCATCTGCATCAGTGACAAAATCTTTGTACCAGTCTGGTGCTGGGCTACCGGGATTGGAAGAGGATGTAGCTTTGCCTATTAAAAACAAAAAAAAAAAAGAAGAGTAAAACAATTTAAAGGCATGGTCTCCATCTAAATTCTTGGAAACATCTGAACTACAGAATTGTTTCCTTATTATTAGGCTTAACTGGTATGAAAAGAGTTCTCTGAGGAAGTTTCTTGTCTGCTCATCTCCTAACACACTATTACATAAACAAAATCTGTAAAATACATATGTGGGAACAATCCTGCTTTTAACATGTTATTATAAATTTATTTTGTTAATTTCACTTAACCCCTTAAAAATACATAAGTCATAAAATGAATTACAGAACTGAAATAATACAAATACACCAAAATAACTATTCACCTAGCAAACGAGTCTGCTGGGGGCTGTATCACCCACTCTGAAGTGTCAGATGCAGCCCATGCAGATCTTTAACGATACTCTCATTATGTTTACTCTGAATTCAGCCAGGAGAAAGCAGGTATTCAGCATCACAACCAAAAATGCAGACAAGAACCATGAACAATCTTGATTTACACTACTTAATTTATTTCATGGTATTTCTGTTCTTTCATTTAACCTCTTGTAAAACTGTATTTTTCCATACCAGAACAAAGAATGAACAAGTTAATCAAATAAGAGATCTGGGTGTGCCCTGGGAAAGTCCTGTACACACCACCTATCTATTTACATCTTCATCCCTAAACTTTGCAGAGGGTCTCCAACAGCTGCAATGAAGTAGGAAGTGCCCGCAAACCTCGCCCAACGCCACATCACGTTTGGTCAGAAATTCTGCACCTGCGTTAAGCTGAACAAGGCTGCACGAGAGAGGTAAGCATTCAACTGCTCCAGAGACAGAAACATCCTGCCTACAACGCAAGCGATCACTGCAATGTATGTGACCTGTACGTGTAGGTATCTTACACACACCCACCCTTCCCCTTACGCGTCTACAATGTTTATCACTGGGACGGGGACCAAAAAAACAATTCTCACCTAAACTGGCCCCAAAAAACCATTTCTTTAGGGAAAGCAGTTGACACACAATAAATGACACTACACAAAACTAGCTCTGTGCTAACAGAAACACGACAAAAGCTAGATTATCAAAGGAAAATCCCCAAATGAAATGTACAGGTATAAGGAGTTTGAGTAACAATCTTTAAAACAGTCTTGTATTCCCACTGCACTGTATCTGCTTGCTCAATATCCATTTCAAATTCCAGGTGTAACAATGACCGACGTGCACGTTTCTTGAGCTTTCCATTGACCTTTCACCAGCATGTTTTAAAGGAGAGGGAAAGCGGCTACTTTGTCCATTAACTCTGTACCCTTTTGTATGTATGAATTAAAAACATTAACCACACAGCCTCCCTGCCACAGGAACCCTCCGTTCTAAATCAATGGCCCTTGGTTTTCCAGGACGAGTACCCTGTTAGACACAGCGGGAGCTGTAAGCACAGAAGCAGTTCATGGAATTAAGGAATTTGTCATTCTACCACACAGGGGAATCCCCGACAGCCCTCTCAACCTGCCTTTCACAACACAAAGCTGCCGTGCATTTTATTCACTTGTTCGCTATACCCACCTTCATCCGATTTTGTAACAGATGGAGGGTTGTTTACAAGTTCTTCTGCATTTCCTTCTCGACCTCCACGAGATCTTGAATTCCAGACTTTAATGACTTCAACATCATTATCACTGCCACTTCCACTTGAGCTACACTCTTTAAAAAATTTTCCCCTTGGATTTTTTTTTCCTGGGAAGATAACATTGTACACCGCATTATTTTTTGAACATTCTACTGCTAGAGAACATACTCAAACAGATACACAAAATTAAAAAGAAATATTCCCTTTATTATAGAAATCACTTAATTTGTGTTAGGGAAATAAATCCAAACGACAACAAATAAAAGCTCAATTACTTTGCATAATCATCAGAACTTAGGCTCATTGACGTCTCATCGGAATCTGAAGCTATGAACTCATCCATGCTGTCTTCATCAAAATAGCCCTCAAAAGAGAAAAAACCAGAAATCTTGTTAAGTATGCTCATCCAGAAGCTTTTATTAAACTTTCAGCCATCTGCTTATTCTTCATTTAAAGAATGGTGAGTTCTGCAAAGGGTTGGCCTTGCAGAATGTTTGAAGAATGACAACATACCCAGAAAGAAAAATATGACAAAAACAGCAGCAAAATTACCCCACAGCAACAAAGATTTCCATTAATTTGATGAAACTTTACCTAGCATTTGGCAAAGCTTATCTGGAAAGTTCTCAGAGTATTTTGATATATCTAATTTACCTTATTTTCTTTGCTAATATAGTCCAGCTGCAAACACCAAGGGTGAGTCCAGATTCTGCTCAACATCTGGAAATCCTGGAACAGCTTAGCTCCAGCTTTGCCTCTTCCACCTTCATTGCCACCACCTACACCTGACAATAAAGTTTGGGTTTTAGAGTGAAACCCTGAATAAGTTTGCCACATACTGTTCCCCCTTTGAACAACCCATTAGTGCAGTACTGAGTGTTCTTTCCAGATGCACATCATATTGTACCGTCTCTTGTAAAAGAGGTCAAATTACTGAGTCACAGGCATTTTTTTCCTAGTTAAAGTTGTCAGAATTAGATTTTCCCCCTTTTCTTGATAATAAGAAACATGATTACATTTTTCACATAAAAGCACATTTCTCCCCAATATAGGAATGAATCCAAATCCTCTTAAAAGGACAGTCATGTCTATTTAGGTTTTGTAAAAGCAGCCCAAGGTGGAAAACACAAAATACAATTTGCGTTTATGTTTCAATGAATTTGGCTTACTATTTTGAGCTACCTTTATTTAATGCCTTGTAATGCTTCAGTATTCTCTCACAATAAAGAATCTAAACCAAGCCTAGCCTATTTTTACATGGTCCAAGCACAAATCAGTGCAAAGCAGTACAGTGTTCACAGGATTCAATTCCTGTTTTGTAGTCTCAATTTCTCCTTAAGCAGCACATTAACTTTATGTTCCCGAAACTGATTGTTTTTCATATTTATAGTATGCATAGTTTAAGGCATGTATACCTACAAGAAAACAGCAAGAAAAACTTGGAAAAACTGCACCTTAATTTCTATTTTATGCCTGTTACAGTGCAGAGAGAAACATAATTTTAAAAATTTGCAGATGAGAAGCAGCAATTCCCTTTCTATATTTATCTTCAGTAGCAAGAGTCCCTTTTTTATTTAATGAAAATCAGAGAGCACGTCGTCTTCTTTTGAAATACAAAAGTAATGCAAAGAATCGATATGGGTATCAGCAATGAGCACAGAGATTTGCTCTGAAGAGTTGAGCCATGGTTAGCTCAGACAGCTTTTCCCCCTCTAAAAGGGGCTGTTTGTCTTTCCACTCTCCTGTTTCCCCTCTTCTTTCTCTGAGCTGACCAAAGTGGCAGGACACTAACCCAAGATGAAGTCAGGGAAAGCAGGTAATGCTTTCTACTAGCTCAGGGAGTTCAAGCAGCCCACGAAGGGCTGGTAATCATGAAACAGTACCACCCCTGTTGACAAATGCCAATTTAGCTAAACTCAAGTCATTCTGTCGAGCCCTTAAAGTCTGGGCAGATTCATTAAACCACCTGTTAGGCAGTGCATTTTCTTATAGTTAGTTACCCATACCACCTGTTGGTAAATTAACGGCTCCAGCAACGTAGTAAATTTGAAGCTCACTGTAACAGGCTTTTTGCCAGAGCAAATCTCTCCCTTATCTTTAACACACTGGACTAGAGGCAGCTACTTCTTATCTGCTGCCTGCTCTGTTAAAAAGGAAGTCTCGAAAGCCACTGTACGTAAGTGAAATTACTTTCCCTGGTCCTTCAAAACGCTTTACTTCTAGAAGTTAACCAAGCAGCAGCAACAGTGGCTTCTCTCTATTAGAAATGAACAGCCCGCAGTAACATATTTTGGCGTGTTTTTTTTTTCCTTATACACCCTTTCAATTAAACAACTTCAGGTTTTCTTGGGAAGACGCAAGTCCCCAAGAAAGACCAGTGAGGAGCCTATTGAAAGCTGATGAAAAGCACTGTCAGTGTGCAAACTAGACTTGTGGGTTTTGAGAACAAACAAAGAGATATTTCCACAATCAAGACAATATTTGACAAGTAACAGCTTCAGCTCGCGTAACAACAAAAGGAAACGGCCAGCCTTGGCAGCCCGCTCACACCAGCACACCTCAATTTTGCATTCTCTCCCTCCAGTCCATATCTTGTTTCTTGGAGGAGTAAGCCATTAAATCAATTACATTTTATGTTTAGAAAAGGAAGAATGGAGAGATGAACCAAAGCCTGAAGGTGGCCTACTTTTAAGAGATGCAAATATTATTATTCCTTAAAAAAATATTTTCATGTGCAACCGTTTTGCTGTATTTCAAGCTTCAGAGCGAAGATAAATCTTACAGGAAGCAGAAAAATACAGCCATAGAGCAAATAACACATAAACCTCCAACCTACCAACTATGGCAAAAAGCCCCTTATTAAATGACCATCAGTCTTGTTGCCCGGGAGAATTATAGACACATACCTGTCAAATGATCCAAGTAGTACTGGTAGAGTTTGCACTGGATGGGTGTCATCCGGACTTCTAGAACATACTCGTATTTTGGTGGGAGGAACTTTGTTAACGCTGTGTAATCTTTCCTCTGTAATTTTACAAACAGAACTTTAGTCACATAAACATGAAAACGACTACTGAGAGCTTAACAACCTCTGGCATCTTCAACGACAAAGCACCAAGCGTAAATTACAATGTTTCAGATGCTTTCCAACCACAAAGGGAAAAAAATAGCCCACTAAATACAATCTAATTACAGGCACTGTCTGCAGAAGCCCATCTTACCTAGTGAATGCCGCTGTGTAGGCAAAAGTAACGACCTGTTAACCCCATGTCTCAGCTCCAAGCCCTTGCAAAGCTGACTGCAACTCCAGTAGCTGCTCTGGTAACTGTTTTTGTGGGGTTTTAAAAAATACTAAAACACTTTTTTTGTGAAAGCATAGGTAAGACAAGCAGATAATAGGAATGTTTGTATCACAGATGAACTTACTCAGGTTCACAGTCTGAGGAGTTCATAGTTTCTGAGTACTTGCTTGGGGCCATACAGAATTCACTCCTGTGTTCATTTTTTCTACTCTTAGGCTAATCTACACGTTTAGGCATTAAAGACCTTCATCACAGCTAACCTGCCTGCAGGGTGCCGAGCAAACCGCAGCCGCTCACTGCCAGAGAGGAGCCTGCAGGCAGCTCCCACTGGGTCCCAGCCATTACACCACCTCCACGGCCTTGCTGTTAGCTACGAGTGCAGCAAGAAGCTCTCAGGAGAACATCCTTTAGGAACAGAGCTGGTTTCTTCTAAGGAAATCATACAGTAGCTCATATGACCAAAAGGGAGAGCTGCTCTGTACAGACCGGATCCGAGCTGTGCAGCGCGCTGGGAGAAAATCCATCTGGGCTCCGTCCAATGCTGCATAAACATGGAATGTCGAGCATCTGAGGGCACGTTAAGATTTACTGGCTATTTATGTTCCTCTTCTTGTTCCATCTTTGGGTTTGCTCCTGCACTGCTCTACAGATGTGTAGAATTACGTACACTATCTTCTCATTACCGTTCAGATTTCCAAGATCATAATTTTACGATGGGAGGTCCTTCATAAACCGCTTTACTTCTTTCAAGGAGATAAAAATATCTGCTTGTGGGACTATCCCATCTGACCATTTCACCCAGCTCATGCCCACTTGGGCTGTTTAATCATCTACCAACAACGGCACAGCCAGGAGGAGGCACTTAGTGCCTACAGAGCATCACACCTTCCATCAGGCTGCCGGTGCCTGGCTTCACAGAGCAGGACAGCAGCAGCATCATGCTGACAGCACACGAGGCACAACACCACCACAGCTTAACTCAAGAGCAAGGAAGCCAGCCCTCATTCTGGAAATCTCAGCAGTCTTGGCTTGGTTTATCTATGGTCTTTAAGGTAACAAGTTCTTCACCCTTTTCCACGTGACTCATCTTCCTTCTCTCCTCTTCCCCATTGCTCAGATTCTCACGGATTGGACAAAATCAGAATTCAGAACCAAGCGACAAACCTGGATTACCAACTTTCTGGGCAGTTTTTAAGGCAGTTGAGTTTTTAAATGTGTACTCCTCCTTTACATGTGTATATGGAATTAAAAGAGCAACTGATTTCAAAGCAGTTTCAAAGCAACTAATGTCCTACTCTACCATATAATTTTCTAGTCTCCTAGCAGGAAACCAGCTGTATTCCCTAATATACGTCTATGTCCTGCTTAGGATACACTGACATGTGGGTAACAGCTGTGAGATTTTTGTAAGTTTTTCTAGTCACAATAAACAATGGAGTGGTCTAGTAATTAGCAAAAATATTTAAGTCAAAAGCAATAGCTGGATTCAATGGAACTCTCAAATAGCAAGTTTACAGGCCTTTGAGTGCTTTCTCCGGAACGAGATGATCCCCTCCCTGCAGCTCGCTGAGGTAATTAGTTGTGGTAAAAACTGTTCTTACCTGAACACATCCAGCTAACATCTCATAGAGAATATGCGCACGCTTCTTCATTACTCTGACATCCACCAGAGTGGAGTCAGCACACTGACCGTTCTGAATTGGGTTTATAAATCGATTGCGGAATTCCTTAATGGAACCGAGTAAATTCTCCTTAATGAAGTTAACCATGCAGTGATCTAGGACAAAAAGATCAGACTTTAGTTGTTCAAAATGGGAAGTACAGTACTGGGATTAATTCTACCAGAAAATAACTGTGTCATATCTAAAACTAAGTACTTTCTGTTGAGCCGAAAGCCCAAACAACCCCAACATTTTCCAGAAAAGGCATCTTAAACTGACACATATCCTAGGTACAGAAGCCACTTCTGAACCTAATGTCAGATTCAAAACTACTTTATTGTGTTTGCTACGCAAACTTTGAAAGCTGCTGTACACCAAAGCAATCATGTAACAAAACTGTATTTTCAAAGATTTTAAAATTGATTCAAAAATGTATTAAACAATAGGAAAAAAATCATTACAACATATTAACAAACAGGAGCAAATGTTGCAAGCTGGTTTAGAATGGAATTCCCCAACCAGTAACATACATCTGTTTAGTAAGGTAGGTAAGAACACTGCTCCGCAATAGTTTAAAACAATTTAAATTGATGCTGCTGCAAGACCTGGCCCACCCATTTCCCCTCTGAACATTCTCTCCCTTCCTCTTTTGACATGCTGAGACTCATCTGATCCTTTGGTTAGCCAGATCAAGGAACTAAACCGTGGGAAAGCTATTCACCTCTGCAGTGTTAATTTTCTGATACCCCTCACGCAGGCTCCCTGAAGAATCCTATGTATGTAAGGCCACACCAAGGGAAAGGATGGAGGAGGGGCCAGATTATCAACAGCTTCATTTTAACTTGGCTTAAACCATCATGGAGCAACATTTTGAGACAATGATTAAAAATGCAAAATGCAAAACCACATTGTGAGGGGTTTTTTTAGATCTAGAAACTTAGCAAACAGCTTCACCATATGTGCTGGTTGTGGCTGGGACAGAGTTAATTTCTCCACAGTAGCTGGTACGGGGCTGTGGTTTAGATTTGTGCTGGAAACAGTGCTGATAACCCAGGGATGTTCTGGTTACTGCTGAGCGGTGCTGACACACAGTCAAGGCCTTTTCTGCTCCTCTCACACACAGACACCAGCAAGTGAGCTGGGGGTGCACAAGGAGTCGGGAGGGGACACAGCCAGGACAGCTGACCCCAGCTGACCAAAGGGATATCCCAACCGTATGGCATCATGCTCAGCACGTCAAGCTGGGGGAAGGGGGGATGTTTGGAGTGATGGCGTTTGTCTTCCCAAGTCGTTACGTGTGATGGAGCCCTGCTTTCCTGGGGATGGCTGAACACCTGCCTGCCCGTGGGAAGTGGGGAATGAATTTTTTGTGCAGCTTTTGCTTTATCTATTCAACTGTCTTCATCTCAACCCTCAACTTTTCTCACTTTCACTCTTCTGATCCTCTGCCCCACCCCACCATGGAGGAGTGAGAGAGCAGCTCTGTCAGGCTTAGTTGCCCGCCGGGTTAAGCCACAAGACCTATCAAATTCTTTTCTTCTAATCAAACTAAATCTATCTATATATTGCTGAAAGGCCAAAGTATATTCAAGGAAATAAACACTTCTTAAACCAGAGAACTACTCACATTCTATAAGATTATTTTGCAGTGGTGTTCCTGTAAGAATTATTCTTCTCCTGGATCGAATAGAATTCATTGCCTTAGAAACAGCAGATGCTTCGTTTTTTAGTATGTGCCCTTCATCACAAACAACAAAGTCGGGGCCTAGAAAGAAATAACATAACATTAGATCTCTTCCATGTCTCATAACCACAAAGAAACTGGCAGCCTAAGGAATGCAAAATTTATTCAACTAACGTTATTAAGTCGTTTTGTTTTGGTTTTGGGTTTTTTTTAACTTCTGTGTGTTTGCATAATTTGTGATTTTTTTTTTAGCACCATTCAAGTCCTCACTGAGCCTTTGCACAGGCATCCACAGTAGCTATTCTGGTAAACTACAGGCTGTTGCTTGTAAAGTCTTCACGGGAAGGATTAAACCCAGCTTTGCAATATATTCCTATAACAATTATCTATCCGTGCAGCGCCTGCGTGCGTGTCTGCATTTCCATTCCCCCCGTCAAAGCTTCATAAACTGTTCCTTCACTCCAGCATAGGCTGCCATCTTCTGGTGCTCACTCACTTCTGAAGAAAACGAAAAATCAGGTAACTGGTAATTTTTCATTTAGGCAACAGGTCAGTATCCATAGCAGTGTACAGGGCAACCAAGCCTTATCTAAGATAAGACACAACCAAATCCGAGTAGAATTACAGACAGGTGAATTGCCACCCTGCAGCTGATTGTCACACAGAAACGTCCTCAGCTTTCTTCCAGAAGATAAACCCAAGGATTCTAGACTGCTGTTTTGGGCGAGTTGCACGAGGAACGTCAAAACCACACCACATTTCCACAGTATGCAAAGCAACTCTAGTAGATTTATTAAGTGTCACAATCTGGGGTTTAAGATACGTAATACCAAACTTGGCAGAAGGGACTTACACACCTTCATGGTTTTCAGATTTGGGGCAATATCTGGAATATCTGGGGCAATAAATACTTTTCCTTGAAAGGAGAAGTAAAAGACATTTTAGAACACAACTAGTAACTTAGAAAGAATGTTTTACCAGATGTAAACCTGACCTCAACTCCAGTACCATCAATCATGAATTCAGCTGAAGTCAAGTTTACGCACCTTTGAAAAACACTCTACAAAGCCATGAGCAGCTGGGTTCATCTCAGCTCTGAAAAGGCTGATACTGAGGTGGCAAATGAGTGTTCACCAGTGTGGACAATCTGCTCTGTTGTAACTTACCAAGAACGCTTTTCCTCATCTTAACCATAAACTGTCTTGTGAAGAAGAAGAAAATTAACTCTAGGACAGCGATCAACAACAGAAAATGAATTATACCTTTGACCCCCTGCATGATTTAATGCCAGTGCCAGTCACCTCAACAGTGACATTTTAAGTGTCAAAAAGTGATTTGAATCTTACATGTTAAAAACCAAAAGGAATCAAGATTTTTGTTTTGTGGGGTTTTTTGTTTGGTTGTTTTTTTTGTTTTTTCTGGCTGGAAAGAAGTTTGTCTTTTTAACCAGGTCTAGAAGACAATTACGAAAATTCACATATGAATTCTGAACACACTTCGACTTGTCCAAGGCTACTTACTTCTCAATTTTCACACCTACCACAAAAACATTTCCCCATATGATTTCACAACTTCTGTACTTTCCCCAGTTTTGACAGCACACAAAACCCTGAGTGGCTCCACACAAAGCCTCCCTTTAATTCTAGGCAAACATCTCTTATTAGTGACAGATCCTTCCTCCAGTCCTCCTTCTAGCATCTCCTGAAGAGTAAGGATCTTGCAAGCAAGCTGTTCCTGCCGCGTACAGTACTACTGAGGTGGTTTGGAGCCGTTTTCTACAACTGAAGCACATGCAACATCTCCCCACCAAAAATGACAGCTTGCACGCTAATATGTCATTCTCAGAGACAGACTTGGCCTGGTACATTATGTTAATGATCAGAATTGAAGTACATTAGAGAAAAGCCTAAGGACAGAGAGCAATCCAAATGGTGCAAATACCCCAGAAATGAGTTTCAGCAATGACAGTGATTCATTAGCATGAAGTGGGAACCTCAAACACTGCTGTGTAGAGTAAATGAACAATAGCAAAACACGTAGTAAGATGACTCGTGGTTGGTTTGGCAGGCACACAGCGCTGGTATCTTGAACTAACATCTTGGCTACAACCCAGTGGCAGGGATTTTCATAAATTTGTGGGGTTTTTTCTGTGTTCTTAAAAAACCTGAGTGCAATTCATTATGGACAGAATGTTTCTCAAAACATCACAAAGGGATGTAAAACTTAAAGGGACCTCAAGGGCTCATTTCCTCATCTGAGGTCACAGTAATGAGAAAGCAACACATCCGCCCTGTCCAAAGTAGGAAACTCCATGACCTCACTCTTTTGCTAAAACGCTGTGCATAATACCTAATTTTAATTACCTCTGCTGCAAATCAGCGTAAATTCTGCCCTTTCCTTTCTCCAACTGATGTAAAAAACAATGGGTAACAGTCCTTTCAATAGCCAGTTTGTACATGGTGGGAAATTTGTCAGTTTAGTTGTCTTGTTTCAGGATAAAAAGCCTTACTCCTCCAATCTTCCCTGAGTCTTCACCATCTTATCCTTGTTGCTATAGCTGTAGATGTTACTACATGGATATACATGAAACATACTCACTGATAGATCTAGAGATGTACAGTTCTCCGTCGCCTCTGAAGGCTACAAGACCTGAAGTCTGCCTCATACCCGTAGCCCACTAAAGAGCTCTTTCCAGTTAAAACATAAGGGAATTTTTATTAGTAGTAACAAGTAAAAAAATACAAAGTTACTGAAATGCTGCAAGCAACGCACAGGAGCGCTCAATAAACCAAACAGCATTCCATCACCTGCACAAAGCACTATGGGAAACCATTTGCTGCTCTGCATGCGTACATAATCCTGCTATTATTTCACATAGCAGAGCTAGTTAATTAGTGAAATCACTCCTCACACTACTTCTCCACCCATAAACTTTGGCTAAACTTTCCCCCTCCAGTCCCCTCTTCTGTGCAATACATGCCTACGCTATAGAGTATGTCTACTCTAGCAGTATTCATCTTAACCAGACATGTATCATTAAATTATCACTCAGATATCAAATTTGCAACTTTTTAAATAAAAAATGCTCCTAGAGGCAAAGGTTTCCCTATTTATGGTCACAGCAGAAAACCAGCACACAGCCTCCTAACCCTTTACTGGCAGCCTGCTATACTGCCAGTGCTGAGATTCACGAACACAACAAGTAGTGGTCGTGGTAGGATACTTCTCTTTAATTTAGCCAATCCAAATGTCTCCAAAAACTAAAGGATAACAACAGGCGAGGTGCAATTACAAACCATAGCAATGCTGTATTTCATCAATCAGAAAAACCAAAGAATAAGGAAGAAAGAAAGAAAATCAACCACACTGCCAAGAAACCGAAAGCTCAGCCAGATAATTAAAACCCAAGAAAACCCACGTCCAGAATCGAAGGCACCACCTACCCTACCTACCATTCCAGCATTCTCAGTCTGAAGAGGAATACTGAAGTGACAGCAAAGGTGCCTTTTAGAAATATCTTTTAAAATATGCTGTATAACCACAAGTTGTTTGCACATATCAGCTGCCAGTTCAGAATGTGTAAGAAAATTCTGCTATTTTAGTGAAATTTGCTGATCCTAAAGCGTTTATTCTTTTTGGTGACCACCTGATAGATTGGTTATATCAACCTGGAATATTTTCAAGAGCTTACAGACACACTTGTGTAAGTTTGCTCGGTTCAGCTAAGCTTAAACCAGATGTCCATTTCTCAGACTGAGGAACTGCATTATTTGCTTTATCTACAATTAATTAATTAGCATTTAATCAACACTTGTTTGTTCACACTTCTAAGGTACATTCTGAACTCTTTTCCATGTGTAGCTGCTCTCCTAATGGTAGATTTCTGCCAAGGACAAAGCAGCTTGTAACAAATTAGCAGATTGAAATAACCCTTGGCTGCAAGAGTCACCTCGAATCACGCTGCAAAGAAAGCAACGCTAGCAAAAAAGATAGTTAGGAACAGTTTCCAGTATATATTCCTGTGGCCATTTCTGTATTTGATCTAACAGAAAATAGACTGTCACAGAAGTCTATTTACGAAAGCAGATGGGGTGGTTTCTGAACAACCATTTCTGTAGCTCAGCAAAACCCAGTGAAATGTGACAAATCTTACTAACGCTCTCCATTAAAATTATTTGCCCAACGGATTTCCATTTGCAGGATTACTTAGCTCATCTACGTAAACCAGAAAGTACAATACATATAAAGCATACTTGTATTAATTTTCACTTACCTGGATCAACTAAAGCTTTATTAAATATTTCTTTAAGTTTTCTACTCTTCACATTCCTGCCTTGTGCAAGATTACGATACATCTCGTAGCCTATTATCATCACACCTCCTTCATCTTGCCAGCGCTGGAGCATATAGCTTCTCTCTTGAGGGCGTTTCACAGTCGCTAGTTCACAGACCTTTCAGAGGGTGAAAAAAATGCTTGAGTTTCTTTTAAAATACCGAACTATCAGTGCAACTTTTAAATACCTAAGGAGTATTAATGCAAGTACATTTTTCACATATTTGAAGTGCATTCCTTAGCCTATAATTTGTGGGGTGAAGCTTCCTGATTATATAAACCGTTCAGTTATTTCATTTCTAAGAAGTCTTTTTAAACCTTATACCTCCAGTTTTTCATCATCTTCTAGACTCTCTTGCCATTTTTCAAACTCATTCAACCAGTTCAAGGCAGTGTTCAGTGGACACACTACCAGAGCTGTCCGAAAATCCAGCTTGTCACACAGCAAGACTGTGTGTAGAAAACTTACTACCTGCAAGAGGGAAACACAGACAAAATGCCAAATAAAACACTGAGCATTAAACATACAAGTATATATTCACATAAAACTTACCATCAGTCTTGCTCAAACGTTCTTTTTAGGTCTGCTAAGCAACTCGCTGCTTAAAATTTCACACACGTGTATTTTGAAGTCATACACTTACTACTTCGTGTTATGCACCTGCATAAATCCTTCACATACTGAGATACACGCCGTGTCAGATTGCACCAGGGAGCTGAATGATTTCATAAATAACTCATTCCCTTTATATTTCACCAAGGTTTATAGAAACTAGAAATTTCTATCAGGTACTTTTAAAGCTTTCTACCAGTCCTCGCCCCAAACATTAAATAATTTCACCTCTCTGGACTGCATAAATGTATGAAGTTCCTTGACAGTGAACTTTGGTCTTAAAACACTGTTTTCCACAATTTTTCCAACATATTGGCAAGTTCTCTCAAGGGAGCAGGTTACTGAAAGGCTTTCCAAGTCTTCACCCTGTAGCCAGACTGGCTGTATGCTGCAGATGGCAACACCTCCTTGAGGCTTGGGAAACAAACCTTGAATCTTTGGATGTCCCTCAGGATTGCTGCTGGAGTGGCTGGTTTTGAGCAGCAGCAAATAACTACAGGACTAGAGGTAGCCTGTAACAACCCGTGAGTGGAAGAGTCAGCGATCCCCAGGCAGCTCCAGCTCTCACCAGACTCTGAATGGTCAAGACTGTACTCTAATCCACGAAACCGTACAACATCCGGACAGTCCTTTCCAGATCTGGCAGCTCTGATTAATACACTGTTCAAAGTAATTTCAAATGGCATGACTACGCTTGGAACACTGGGCAAACTGCTTTTAGATGCTGCAGTACAAAAGGAACTACCAGTGGGTTTGCCGTCAAGCCAAAAGCATCTCACGTTCAAATGCAGAAACTGCCCATGAAGACTAACCCCAGAAGTCCTGGTCAGCCAGCAAGTCCCTCATTGCTTTATTTCCCCAATCCTTTACGTCCTTCTCTACAGTTTGCAAAGTCTGCTGAAACTTCCAATTTAGCTCTTTTAGAGCTAAACAACAAATGGCATTACAGAGTACAGTGGGAAGACTGGGAAATGACCACACATGGAAAAAACCAACTACCTTTGCTATAAACAACGGCCATAAAAATACTTGATACATACTTGTAACTGTGGCCTTCTTCGATTATCAGGAAGTTACAGCCAAAATGAATGTCATGAACACCTCTGGACAACACACAAAAATGCCTTCTGCTGTGGAGTATTTCATCAAACTACAGTATCTAAGCGTACAAAGTCCCCTAGACTGCACTGCTACGTTAAAGCACAGCGGTTCTGCAAAACCCTGCATATCTCCAGTAAAAGGTGTCATTAACTCCTGAAGAACCGTAACACCTAAGTTAGAATTAAGCATGCAAAAATACTCTTCACTGCAGCTGGAGTTTTTAAAAACATGCTGTCTCCATGCTGTGCACCACAACCTACCAACACTGCAGCTTGTTGTACCTGAACAGTGCATAGAGTGAATGATGAGCGGCCTCTCATCATCTACAGCACTGCGTTACTCAAAAAAACGCCCTCAACCCGGTGACATCCCCCAAAATCAGAAAACCACAAAAACCAAGCTGTCCTTGAGTCCCCTGAGCCTGTCCTTTACAAAGGATTTAAAGAATCTGAAGATATTAGGCCAGCCTAAGCGCTCCATGACTATATCCTACAATTCACAGGTGAAGAAAGAAGATTCTGAGGATCAGAAAGTTGTAAATAAAACGTTTCTGAATTAGGAGAGCATGATTAGGTATTTCTCATATACCTTCACTTTCTGAAGACTGCTGGGCAGCAATGTTTTAGAGGGAAGACACAAGAACAAGGAAGCCATCCGACCCAGCAAGGCTTAGCTAACACCAGCAAAGATTACCAGATTCCTCTGCTAGATTCTCTCTGAAGATCTTCAGAGCAATTCACGCGTCATAAATGATGAAAGACTTCAAGCCAAGCCTGCTATCTAGCAGTGACCAGGTGTGCTGACTACGCCCAACACCAAGTAGCAAGGCAGGTGTGAGCACTACAGAGAGCAAAAACTACTGAGACACCCGGTTCCAAACGATCAGGTGTCGGAGAGCAACTGCTTGTCACCAGGATCCTACAGCATTTTGCTTGCCAAGTGACTAACAAGGCCATAAAGCTGGCTGCTGTCACTTGCAGGCTATGAATCTAGCTTTGCCCCAAAAATGCTGAGACATCTTTCATACAGCTTGGAATTCCAGTACGGTGATATACTGACCTCTCTAGGAACGAACAGGCCTTCCGGTCAGGTTATAGGGCTTCCCAATCCAATGGGGAAGCTTCTACCACAGCTGACCAAGATGGAAAAGGATGGTGAAATGGCATTTCCTCACAGATGCTTTGAGGATCCCATCCTCACTGTAGGAAGAAAATAACCTCTTTGAGAACCATCATCACCACGCTAGAGACGGTGCTCCAGGGAATGAGTAAAGTGCATCCATATTTGGAGCATGAAGAAGTCAGAATGAAGTGTTGCGCAAGTGCCAGCTGCTACCGTGATCTAGACTTGCCAGTCACTCACCGGCGCATTGGGCGGATCTCCTGTCAAGTGACTCAAAGCCAAGAACCGCTCCTGGCATAAGAAGCCCAGATTGATCCCGAGGTGAAATCAGTTCTAACCAATTCCAATGTCTGCAGAAGCTGCAAGTTAAATTTTTAATGACTCAGCTCAAGCCAGAGATCAAAAAGGTTCACAGTTATCCCTTTCCCTAGCCAGCTGTTCCAGCAAGGATATGAGAACATCTTCCTTCTCCAGAAATGAGGAATCACAGCATCAACGAAGGCCAGTGACAGGGAGACCGAAGTGGCCCTGCTTTTCTGAGGGCCTTTTTCAAACACAGGTAAGGTTGTTATCCTCCTTTCTTCTTCATAGTTCTCAAGAATTTCCCTTTCTCTTTCCCAGAATCAGAGGGAAAGGTTCTTCTGTCAAATGACTTCTGCTAAAGGAATTCTTGGGAACAGACTGAGCAACAGAGCAGCAAGACGGACAACTCATCTCTGTTCTTTGCTCACAGTTGATGCCACATCTGGCTACCCAAAATTTATGAAGACATACAGGTACTTGGAAACAAGCGAACACTGAGCAATAGAGCAGCAAGACGGACAACTCACCTCTGTTCTTTGCTCATAGTATTTGTGGTGATGCCACATCTGGCTACCCAAAATTTATGAAGACATACAGGTACTTGGAAACAAGCGAACACAGACGGAACTGCCCTGAAAAGGTGCTAGCAGGAATACTGAGACGCAGGGAATTCAAGAAAACTGGCTTAGGTCTTTTACCTCTTTTGAAGGCCATGGGCAAAAGCTTCTCCTGAGGCCTGCCAAGATTGTAAGAGGCCTAAGAAAAAGAGCTACCAGCAACCGTTTTACAGCAACTGTTGGGGCGATCAGTTTCAAAAGATACATTTTAAGATGGGGCTTGAGCTTCAGACTTTAAAGACTAATAGTTCACTGTGCACGTTTCAACACGGCAGAAGAGCCACTTGTATCAGACTAAGAAAAATGGAAAACTCTTTTTTTAAGAAATGCTACAATAGTCTGTTTTAAGATTTTTACAAAGCAATCTTCAGCAGAGTAAAGGAGAAGGAACATGCGCCGAAGCGTAACCTGAAGATCTCGGAAGCAAAGAATTGTGAAGCCAAAGAAAAGAAAGGAAGAAGTGAAAAGGGGGTTTCAAAGCATGCCCTGTAGTTAACTGCCAAAGCAATGACAGTTTCTGGTCTTGTGATGCACGACGACCCAAAAAATGAACGTACATACGGACAATTAGTGTCATAGAAAACAAATGCCCCTGTCCCTCAACCCTAAGAGTCTGAATTGTAGTAAAACGTTGTTTATATTAAAACAGAAAGCATCTGACTTCAGACACTGAGTCTGGCATAAGAAACAAAAAAACCAAACCCTGATAAACCTCTACTGTATCAGTTCAACAAATTAATTGAAAAAACACCGAGGAAAATACACAGTTTAAGGAGCAACACAAGAATGAGGAAGACAGTAAAAACCACAACCGGCTCTAGATTATTAAGCAGATTCCTGAAGCCTGTCTCCTACTAGCTGTGTTTTCTTGTTTTGAGCTGTAAGGGAGCTGCACTTCACTTACAATTAAATATGACTTTTTCACACCAATATCAATGATTCCCTAATTTAATTTCAGATATTTTAAAAGTGGAGAAAGCACAAGAGTGTATCAGAACCTTCACAGTTGTACGCTACGAAACAACTTCTTTCTCAAGACCTCTACAAAACGTTTTCCTCCAGCAACTCGAGTCACTGCCTAGTAACAGTAAGCTTTACGTTCTGAAGGTCTCTAAGATTGACTTTTGCTGGATGAGCTTTTGAGAGCAAGCTGCAGGCCAGAAAACAAGATGACATTTTGTTTCTTACCTGTAACGTTTTGCCCAGACCCATACAGTGAGCAAGAATGCATCCGGAACCAGGAGACGTCTTCGTTTTCTTCACAGATTCACAACAGCAATCCCACATGAACTGAACACCTGAAGAAAATGATCGAAAAATTTCTTATCAAACATTCATTTTATTAGAGTTTGCCTGGTAAGCGATAGGTGTGATCACTCTAAGATCATGGTAACACTTAGACAAGCAGTGCTCAGAGTAACTACTGATTCCTTTCAGTCCAACAGGTTGTATGTGGGGTGATCTTTGTCCTGAACTTAATTACATTCACAGTTTTCCCTGAAATTGTGGCAATACTTAGAAAGTATTACTGCGCAGACTGCAGATGATTGTGATCTTGGGGACAGGGAAGAAAGAGGAGACAGAGCAGAAAGTGGCAAGGGCTCCTTGAAAAGACTAAAATGATCCTGGTAAATTAGCAAAATGATCTGAAACCAACTAAAAGAAATTCTGCCAAGACAGATGTGAAGTTCTATGCTTGAAGAGGGGAAAAAAAACCTAATAAGAACTGACAGCTGAAAAAGGAAAGGAAATACATGCTTCATAACAAAACACATTAATAACATGAGGTTGGTTTTTTTCTGTGCAATCTATTTACTGGGGAGTTGTATTCCACTACGCTATCCTCAGCAGAGATGAGGCTTCAACTTCACTGCTGTGTCTGGTCCTGGGCACCTCCCTTTAATAGCTGCAGCAAGTCCAGAAGTTTCTTACAAAAATAAAAAGGTTGTAGATTATGAACTTAGAGGAAAATACAAAGTAACAGAATAAGCTGTGAATAATGATTGGTTATTTTTTTTCTCCTTCTTCACTAGAAACAGAACGTGGAAAGAAAATGTGGAAAGAAGTTGGCTTGATTTGCAGTCATGTCAGGTATCAGAAAAACAAAATCTGTTGAGAAAACCAGGAAGATAACCATGAGATTTTTACATCTTCACTGAAAATTACAGAAAGTGAATATACTAACTCCTCAACAGAATGAGTAAATGTATTTGATTCTGCCTCAGTGTGGAGATCTAGATGATTCTGAGGACCCTTCCAACTTTACATTTCTAAGGCTTATTGCTTGTAAAAAAGAACTACGTGTTACTGATCTCATTTACTTTTATTGATGTTCCAAAAATAAAGGATTAAACCTGACATTCTGGCATTTGCCTACCAAGGAGTTTTTCCTTACGATTCTATGTCAGGCTGCGTAAGATGCTGTGCCAGTGGAGAGGAGAAGAAAAAAAGATTTAAAACACTCTTATGGTGAGGTTTCAGCCTGGTAACTATATTCCTATGAACCTGCACTAATGGTTCTTTGGTTTCTTCATCTTCATCTAGAACCAGCTTAGTGGTAATGGGACATTTCAGAGGTGAAGCATCTTCTATCTCTATCACCTATAAACAGAAACAGGGCATCACAGGAACACTTCACATGCGAATTAATACCAACAGACACTAGCTCTAGCCAAATAGGAAGTCATCATTTATTAAGTAAAGAGAAACCTTACATTTTTTATAATGCATCACAGCTGACTTGGGGAGAGTGCCTTTCCCCAAGCAAAGAAACGCAGGAGGCAACTGAAACAGCTTTCTATAGATCTCAGTAGCCTTACATAAAACTTACCGATGTTAACCTGCAGGAAACTACAAATAAAACTTGTGGCTTACAAGGCTACGTCTAAGTACTTTTAAAATTACTTATCAAATTAAATTGAGGTAGAAACACATTGTCTTAAACATCATTAACAGTTCAGCTTCCTAGCATTCGGGAAAGAAAACAGAACGTACCTCTCTCAATTTATCTCTCTCCCGTTCTCTTTCTGCTATACGTTTTCTTCTTTCTTCCTCTTCTTTAAGGGCGTTTTGTGTTTCTGTTCTTAGCTTATCATCTTTAATAATTTTCCTTATTTTCTTCCTGCCTTTTCCAGGAGATTTGGAATCATCATTGTCCTCACCCTCAGAATTACTCTATTGCAAATTAAATAAATTAAGTATTAGCAAGAAAATTATGGCACAGATCATCACATCCTTCATTTTTAGACAATCTCCCCAAAATTTTTATACACACAGGAGTTCAGCTCGTAAGGAAAGTAAGACCTTTTCTTAAAACAAGTCAGCCAGCATGACAAAAGGAGTGTCACCTTAACGATACTGTGATCTGAGATATTAAAGGTAAGCCCAGCTGTGCTAAGGCAGCACCGAAGGGTCTGTTATCATTGGATAGTAACTAATGACAGTCAATAAAGAACAATTTTTCGCTTCTAGTGGTGCTCGATCAGATCAGCTATCACCTGATCCACATCGGAAAAGAAACCTTAATACTAGGAAAGCCTTAATCTACTAGTTTAAATATTTCATTTACTTAAAAGATATCATGCACTTTCATCAACCAGACATGACATGGTTTTAGTTAAACAATGTTTTTTCTCCATGATGGTGCCATTTTGGGAATTAACAGTGAGAAAAGTTCTAACTTTTCACTGTACTTTGTACAGAGCTGTTTGAGCCACCCAAGTCCCTAGGCAGTCGGCAGAAGAGACAGGAACTCCTTTTCTCATTTATTAACACAAAACACAGTACAGTACCTTATTGTTGTTTTCACTTGAAGAATCTTCTTGAATCTTTATACGCCTTCGTTTCTTTTTCTGTTTGTAACTGCGCTGGTTTTCTTCTGCCTCAGCTTTCTTGGCAGATCTAGTTTTAAAAAAAAAAAAAAAAAAAGGCAGTATTACTGATTGAAGAACTACCTGAACTACATTCCTAATTAATACAATATATACTTCCAAATTCCTCTCCCTCCCCACCACCACTCACTGGACACACAGAGCAATGGTCTATTCCAGACAACCCTGAAGAATCTTGTCAAGTACTAGTTTTCTGCTGCAATCCACCATTCCTCCACTGACATACTTGATAAACCCCCTCCTTTTTTTACATCTTTTTTTCATACTAACTCAGCAAATTGATGCATACCACATACTATGTACAAATTCAGAATTATCACATTTGCTGAAAAGTTAATTAATAGTTAATACCAAATTGCAGACAACTACCATCAAAAGTTTTAAGGACTGATCCGAAGTCTTTAACTTGTACCATCTCACTACCTGAATTTCACTATTAAAAAGCCCCAAAAAACCACAGGATAAGCACAGTTAAGTTTTATTTATACCTTGTTCTTGGACGCTGGTCATCTTCAGACTCACTGACTTCTTCACTAACTGCAGATTCATGAAACTCGGAGTCATTTGAATCATCACTGCTCACTTTAAAAATAAAGTGTGATTTCATGTTGAGTATTACCTCAAAGCTACCAACATTACATACCTTCTCCTTACAGACCAAACTGTTTAAGACCAACAAGCATTGCAGAAGTTCATTTCAGACCGTATGGGACCCATTAAACACAGTAATAGGAAGCAACAGGAATACAAGGAGCAGAAAAGCTTAACATGTAAGCACTAGCTGAGTCCTGATAGATGGCACATTATGCCAACAAGACTTGAGGTGCCTCTGCATGAATCTACTTACACCTAGTTTACAAGCAAATGTCAGAAAGCATGCTATTAGAAAGTCACACTTAGGGACAGTGGGCGAGGAGAAGAGAACACAACGGGGAACAGTACAGAACGTCAGAAAACAAAAGGTGATTTTTAGTTAAACAGAAGGTTCTGTTTAGCTAATGGTTTAGATGTAATTTTATAATCATACTTCACAATTAGTGCAAACAACCCTTATTTACTAACAAAATATCCAATTACGTTACTGTATTTATGGCTTGAAGTCTCCTGAGGTAATGTGAGTTTAAAACTGACTCAAGAGACGATGAAAAACACACCTAAACGAGCAGCATTAGGTAATACTTCCATAGGTACTATTAGGAGCTATCACTGGTATTTACAGGTAATTAAGAGCAGCATGCCATCTAGCACCTTTATAATTTCAGTTTGATCTTGCATACAGTGGAAAGCTTAACTGTGTTACGCATAACAAGGCCTGAAACAAGGATTGGTTTACATCCAGGGGGAAATGTAATATTAATAACATAGGGCTAAACAAATCATAGAATCATAGAATGGTTAGGGTTGGAAGGGACCTTAAAGATCATCTAGTTCCACCCCCCCTGCCATGGGCAGGGACACCTTCCACTAGACCAGGTTGCTCAAAGCCTCATCCAGCCTGGCCTTGAAGACATCCAGGGATGGGGCATCCACAGCTTCTCTGGGCAACCTGTTCCAGTGCCTCACCACCCTCTCTGTGAAGAATTTCTTCCTGATATCTAATCTAAACCTCCCTGTTTTCAATTTGTACCCGTTACCCCTTGTCCTGTCACTACAGGCTCTTGTAAGAAGTCCTCTCCCAGCACCCTTGTAGGCCACTTTCAGGTACTGGAAAGCTGCAATGAGGTCTCCTCGGAGCCTCCTCTTCTCCAGGCTGAACAAGCCCAACTCTTGCAGCCTTTCATCACAGCAGAGGGGCTCCAGCCCTCTGATCATCTCCGTGGCCTCCTCTGGACTCGCTCCAAGTGTTCAATATCCTTCTGATATTGAGGGCTCAAAGGAAGTTGTTCTACTTGAGGCGAGTGAATTTCAAAGGACTTACACAGAAGAATCCTTAGAATTACTCTGGCTGCATCTTACTTGCACAGTGCCATTGTAATTTACAACTACTTCTCTTGGAAGAAATTTTGTTGGTCAGGCTGTAATTCCGTAAGGGAGGAAAAGCACGAATATACATTCCAACAAAATGAGAGTTTTCACGAAGGAAAAGGAGAAACAAATCGCATTACAACTTCCAGTCTGTGGAACACCACGGAAGACACCTGGCACTAGTGCGACCCCAAGAACCGGGCACCCTCACTTCCACTGGCCATGAGACACCATCAGCACCTACACCGACCAACGTGGCCGTGAGCATTTATCTTTGCTGTCGCTCCCCTCCCCTGCTCCAAATGACTGAATGCAGAGGGTTGACAGGTTCCTTATGGCACGCAAGAACAAAGGAAATGAAAAATCCACGCCAAGCATCATTTCGCAGTGCCACCTGGTGTTCACCTAAACTGCAGCAGTCACATTCTGGGGTGGAGAAACTTCTGATGCATAAGGGCCTACTAACAGTCCAAGTTAAAATTACATAAAGGACAAAATTGATTTTCACTGATTAGACCCACTGGGCTCGCCTCGGTTATTTAAGATTAATATTCTAAGACTCAACAACATTAATCCAAATCAGGGATACACAAAGCGGAGAGCACTGCATTGGTATTCAACGCTTTGAATAAAACTGTTCCTCAAACACAGTCAGAGAAGTCTAGATTTAATACAAAAGGAAATCTGTTATACAGAGATTTTAAAACTACGGCGCTTCAGATCTCCATTCTGACAGACTTTGGACATATTTTATAGAAGCAAGTACTTTTTGTGACAAAAAACATTTGTATTATGTACCTTTCCTTCTATTTCTGCGCTTCCCTTCTTTTTTCTCTTTTGGTTTCACCTTTTTTTCTTCACCAGATTCTCCGTCACTCACTGTCAGCTTGTGCCTCAGCAGCCTGTGTCTGTATCTAGGCTTCTTTGATTCTTCTTCCTCCTCCGAGTCGGATTCAGAATTCTCTTCCTTTTCGTGCTCTTCTGTCAGAGATAAGAGTCAATACAACAGGCACACTGGTCATTTTTTTTTTCTTACTTAAATTCGGCAAGATTTAAAATCTGAATTAATTTAGGCTAAATTCTGTGCTTTTGCAGGAAATTGTGGGCAACAACATACCCTCGTTCCCTCAAATCTTAAGTATTTTATGCTGCCAGAACACTTGGAACGTCTGTTCCAAGGACTGTATATGTTAGTCAAATCTCTCCCGTGCATTTGCACATCTTACTGTTCTGTATAAATCGCTCCTCACAACTCCCCAGGACTTCTGCTTACAAAAATCAGACTATTAACAGAAAAACACACTTACATAAAAGAGATGATAATCCTTATGATCATGTACATTGGTCTCTATCTGGCAACTACGTATCAACATCAATGACATTTCTTGGTTGAAAACTCAAGAAACTATTAACTGTAATTTCCCGAAGTGGTCTGTGAAATTAAGACAGGCGTTAACAGCACCACTTTTCCCCAGATGATTTTTTTGGTGCTCACCATCATCTCCTGTGTTTTCGTTTGGCTTTCCAGTTTTCTTTTTCCCTTCTTCCGATTCATCATCTGAAGATGCATCCTCATCAGAGGAAAGATTGGCTTTGATTTCTTCTAAAAGCATTTTCTTGGCAATTCTTTGAATTAAAACAGAAAAAACTATTTATTCCGTTGTTCAGGGAAATCCACAAACGACAAGTGTAACCCTATACCATTCAGAAAAAAATGGGGGGGGCTGAAAGCTGAACAAAAAGAAGACACATGATGAAAAGTTATTGTGGGAAGACAGGATATATCAGCAAAACTCTTATGTTCAATGAAACGTTTTAACTTCCTTTTAGAAAGCAAATCTCTGTAACCCATCTTCAACAAGAAGTTTCATGCTTTACAGCAAGACTGGAGATAGCTGTAAAATGTACAAACTCAAACATTCCATTTTATTCATGGTCTATATGGATGGCCTCTTGTCAGTCCTTGGACAGGCACCCATATGAATTCTGACCGTAACAAGAACATGAAGACGCTGCAGACCAAACCCTAAAAGTCAAATCATTCCCCTCAGAAATGGTTATCATGCTTACTTGATTAAATCAATGAGATTAATTTCCTGAGGCACTGAAGCTACTTGAGTAGCGTATACACAAACAGTAATAAAATGGCTTTAAGTGGTAAAAAACAGTTTTAAAACCAGTGCATCACTGGATGGACGGTTGAAACAACGAGAACAAGATTATTCCAAGACACATTAACTCACAGGTTAGAAAAAACCCCGTAACGTGTGTCACCGTTCTAATTGCCTGGGGCCACCCTGCTGCAGAAGAGATGCTGCAGTAACGAGAGCGACTCATGCTGCCTCAAGACAAACTGACATCAAGTGCCTCGGGAAAGAGACCCCCACTGAATCCATCCCTCACAGAACTACACGCGCTCGCCTTACAGCAACTGCAGACAAAAAATACATGTGGTGGGATTTTCTTTGTGTACACACACAAGAAGGTTCTGTCAAACATTACAGGACCTGAACCTGAAAGAAAAATCAGGATCTTATTTCCTGTTCCACACACTGTTTGCTCAGCTTCTCACAGTTTCAGTTCAGCACGAGAATGTTTTCTGCTAACATACAAGAAGTTACTATGGAAAAATGCAACATGAAAAAAAAACCCCGTATGTGAATCTATCCAAGGCAAAATATAAAATGGTATGTCAAAAGCACAGGAAAAGAGCGGACTTATCTGAGAACTCGTACTTCCGGGGGGGGAAAAATCCTGAAAGAATGAAACCAGGCCTTCCTCATATAAATATCAGAAATACTATAGTTTTCATTCCATGGACATCAATTTTAATTGATTTTTTTCCCCTAGTCAAATCTGGTCTGTCTTGCCTTTCAGGAGCATTAATGCATACTCCATGTGGAGATCAGAATGGGAAAGCTTTTTTACCAGTCCAAACATCAGTCCAAACCCCACGACACTGAACCACAACCTAGGCTTCACTCGAAAATGGCAAAGGCACAGTGATCTCTTCGGTACAGCTTCTTATGTGTTAGAAAATCAAGTTGTTACTTTCATTTAGCACCATAAAACAGGTTTTAAAGAATCTGTGTTTCATTTTTCAGCATGCAATGTGCCCTAAAACACAAGACCTTCTCAAATGGAATTTTCCCTAGGTATGTTTCCTAACACTTCACACAGTACCTTCCATTTTTTGAGTGGTAGTATACTTTCAAAACCGATTCCAATACTAATGTATACTCAGTTATTATTAAAAGAGGGAAGTAAAGCGGTTTAATAAAGAGTTACAATTGCTCAGAGTCACAGACTATGCAGCAGCAGCCAGAACACTCCCCCTTGCCCTCTCGAGAAATGGCTTGTGAAGAAGTAGCTGGTGAATCTTTAAACGCAGTACTCCTGGTAATCTTTAATTCCACATCTATCAGCAGATCACGGCAGGAACCCAATGAAAATTTGCTAAAGTCCACAGATAAGTAACGCCCTCCTGCAAATGCTTTTGGCATTAGGTCCTTCCAGAGGATTTGGAAAAGGGACTTGGGGCGTGGAACGTTTGTTGTTGGGTGCTTTTGTTTTTAAGCCCACATCGTACGTAACAGCAAGAGGAATGAACTGCTCCGTATGTAAGAAATTAAGGCTAAACTTCTTCCATCTCTCAACGGTCAGAACTTTTTCTTCAAAATGAAACTGTTTGGAATGTCACAGGTTGGCTTCTCTTTAAAAGCTTTTAATGTAAATTATTAACCTTGAATCCTACTCCAGGAAATGCAGACAGCAACAGTTTGGCTACTTTTCTTGGTTATCAAAATAACAACATCATCATCAAAGTTCGCTTTGGAAAAGAAAAAAACAAGTAGAAAGACTAAAAAGAACTATGAAATCTTGACATTCAATCCTGAAAGTACTGCCTAGTAATAATACATCCTTTGGCTTATTAGCCAAGGTAACCAAACTCATCCATGGAGAACAATACTTACCTTTCATGCAAGTCACCTTTAGAAATCATACATTTACAAGAAAGGTTGACTTTGGTTCTTAGCAAAAGATGACGCAAGTTTTTATTTGTTCTTTTTTGAAGTACTTCTTTAAGAGAAAACCAAAATAAAAGACACCTAAAAACACCATGAACAAAACCTACTATCCATAAACAGAACAGGCTGTTGTTTTCCTATCAATCATCATCATAACCACCTACCAGATTGGGCAAACTTATTAGCTTCTAATTAATTATCTATAATTATACTGATTAGTAAATTATTGCTTTTATACTCTGCAATAGAAAATTAATACTTTTTTTAGCCAGGATAAAGATTCAACTACTTTGCATTATACTGAGATGGGACTGTTTAGTGAAAAAAGCTTCAGTCCCTTCAACACGTTCTACTGCTGTGATGTTGGGCTAGAAATGTGAGGCATTGTTGAGACCTCTACAGATTCCTATTTTTAATGTAACTACAGATCTGATAGGAATTAAAAGTGTAAGCAGTATTAGAACCAAACAGATTAAGCCTTGTCAATACAAGTGACTGATGTAGCAAATGGCTTATATGAATTAAAATACACTACTGAACTCTTGCAACTGGTTTTAAATTAAATTGTATGTGGCTCAGGATAATACATCCCACTGCAATTTTAAGATATAAACCCATTAAAGCGACCAGGTTTCTAAGCTAAGAAACTTCATATGCTCTTTCACATTTTAATATTTGCATTAACATCAAACTGCAGGTCCCAGGAAAACCAAGCTATGACAGTGTGAAAAATCCCTTGCTCACAATCTCCCAGAGAAACCCAGGAAAATCAAAAGATAATAGTATTTACTCAGGTCAAGGACACAGAAGATATTCTTGGCCAACCAGATGAAAGAGTTGAACACTATAAACAACTGTAATTAAGGAGCACAGAAGGCTGTACGACCTCCAGTACAGGACTCCAGGTAGTTAAAGAAATCAGAGTAAAAGAGAATCCCTGTGTTTCATCCACTTCTGTCACTGATCTGCTGTGACCTTGAGCATGTCACGTTGCCTGCTCCATCTTACCTAAACACATGGTGAGATTTGTATAAAGGACATTTCCCCAACTGTTATTTACATAGTGCCTTACAGACTGGGACTGTAATCTCAACCAGGACACACAGAAACAACTCCAGAATAAAATGACAGTATACATGTTTGATTCTATATAAATCAGGATGTAAATATATTTCACTTTAGTAAGAATGACACCATCAGCATACCTTTATAAAGAAGGGATTGGTTACTACGTATTTTCTAGCTTACACTAAAATACTCTTACAAAGAGATGGGCAAACTGGAAGCTACCCAGGGGTTGCCTAGTCACAGTTTAGGACTACTTTAACGTCAGACCTTGCAGCAAAAACGGAATAGCAGGTGCAGCCTCGCACGATGTGGAGTTAAGTCCACACGATCATTCGCACCACCCTTGTTCCTGAATTTGAGAGTGCCGATACAACGTGCTCATTCATAGACTGTCAATATCTTGGTGAGACAAGGCCACCACTGTAAACATAAATCTTCTTTAAAAGTCATGATTTTAAATACCAGTTAATAATCGCGACATATTATTACCAAATTAGATTATAGCAACTCACTCGTAGTGTTCATAAACACCTACTAATTATATGTAGAAATGAGGTTCCCCAAACAAGCCCTCGGGCAGGGAAGGACGTTTTTATGGCTACTAAAAGCCACCATTCTTTCAGCTAAAGCACTGCTGAATTAAATGGGCCTTTGGTATATTACTAAAAAAAATTAGAACCATTTAAAAGACATTTTAAGAGATGAGTATTTGGATGAGATGCCATACATGTTAAAAAAACATGAAAACTACCTGACACCTTGTTCTAAATACTGTGCTGTCTTTGTTGAAACAGGCTGATTTTCAAGCTGTCAGAGTTGTATTAAATTAAATGCTTGGACAAGAAAAACGTTTTACAAAAATTTATTGCAACCATCAAATACTTAAAGGCATTCTGCATTAAATACACTATTAACTTCTTAATAAACAAAACTACTGCAAACATTTTAAACAGTACCATTTAAAAGATCAGAAGGACCAATAATAGATAATTACACAACAGAAGATGAAAGCATACAGCACTGTATGTCATATGATGACCCACTTGGATATTGCATTTTGGCAAAGATGATTTCAAGACTATCAATATTCATGTCATGCACATCCAAAGGTATGCAAATAACAGAACATCTAAACTAGAGACTTGCAAACATGAGAGTTCCCACACTACAAACACCCGGTAGCTACTACGTACCCTCTTTGGCCGGGAAGAAAATTGGCAACTTATCTGAATAGTAGGTAAACTATTTAAACACTTTGTGTTGAGTAAACAGAAGAACAAGCTTTTTTAACTTCTCAAAATTTGTTCCATCTTTTTACATTTTATAGATCTGATTTTGGTGCCAAGTACAACGCGTGGTGAACGTAAAATCAGATTGCAGTTACCGGTTGACAAAACTGTTTATTGACAAAATACCTCCCCATCTCATATATATATATTCAAAATATTCCCTAAATGAAAACTTCAACAAAGATTCAGCTTAAAAACAAAGTACAGAAACTGATTTTTAAACCCCAAATTCATATTACTGCTTTGTTCGTTATCAATTGGGTTAACTCCCTTCCCAGTATTGTTCTTCAACTAGTAAGATCTGTCAGTAACATGTGTATGGTAAACACTGAACTTTGACAAAAGTGTAGTGGCTTAGTTATCAACCAGAAACACTTAAGAAACAAGCAAAAAGAAAAAAGAAGGGAAAAAATAATCAAAACAGGACTGAAATTAAGTGTCATTTAAAAAGATCTAAAGTCACCCATGTTTACATGTTCTGCTTTTGACCTTGTGCTGTCAAGTCCCTAAAGAGCGTCTGTCTTTTAAGAGTTAATTATTTGATTAAATCTGATGACTGAAAACAAGCAACAACCACATCAGCAGCAGCATTTTGATGCCAAACTGAGGTCCGTAAAGGATATAAAACAGCGGGTTTAAAATTTACTTCAGCCACAGATCAAAACACAACTCTGTGAAACAAGGATACCATATTCTAAACTAGTAAGGCTCAGAAGCAGAAAAGGACCCCATCAGCAACTGTGCAAAGCTATGAAGCTGGTCCCATACATGCTATAAGGCAAAAAAAAAAAACAGTATCTGAAATACTGTGTAAGAATTCATTGAACAACTCTTCAACTACAGTAACTTCAAAAAGAAACTGTGGCTTGAGGTCGAGCAATACTTCATGTTGTGCATTCACTCATAAGGAAATGAAGCTTTTATGTTTTCTAGCCAGGCTAATTTTGTTAACTACAATGGTACTGGTAAAATATGACGTCTTATCTAACTATATCTTACATAGATTCATTTTTATTGAACTTGAAACTGAAGCAATACATATAAAGCCACAATTCTGAAAATACCTATGTAAAGACTTAAAACGTGTAGGTGTAATTAGTCTCTTTGATACCAGTCGAGCCTATGCACAGTGCTTGTAGAATCAGGGCCTTAACTATCACATGAATCACTTCAGGAATTCTTTAGTGGATTAAAACTCAGTTTAATTAACAGCTGGAAGTATCTAATACTGTTTTCTCCACATTTGTGTTCTCTCTTTATTGAGAAACGGTGTTTCAATTAAAAAAGCAAATTACGTCACAGAAATAACCAAGTTCAATCTGAAAATGTTTTAGCACTGCATACTGCACAGATGCAAATGTATGTAACTAGCTGAAACTCACATTCATCAGGAGGTTTTTACCTGCCTGAATGAGACCTCACACCTTCAACGGGAACATCGAACGGACAGTGCCGCAGTGCGTTTATAACACACCCTACGCAAGGTGTGTTAGCTAACACTTCTAAATACTCTCTTTGCATTTCTGGATTTTGGCCTCTGTTTTCTGGCCCCTTGTTCAAACTTGCGGGAAGCCCGTGAGTGAGTCTTTACAAGGCAGGCAGTCGTGGTTTTCACAACCTGCTTGCTCTTCCGTTGCGCCGGTTTGCGCCCACGCCTAGGGTGTGTTATAATCTTTTTTACGTCCTTACGGATGGTATCATACCTATTCTCAGGATCGTCATCATCATCTTCCTCCTCCTCCATTGGAACAGCCCTTGATTTACTCTCTCCCTCATCTCCTGGGGGAGGAAGGGGAAACAAAAAACCAGGAAACATGAACGCCTCACACATACAAAATCAGCAATAAACAACACAGCACGTGAATTACTGTCTCCACCAAGAATCCCCCAATAAAAACAGCTTAGCAACACCACCACCTTTCTACCAGCAAACAAAACAGCCAGTTACCTATCTGGACATATAAACCCAAGTATTATTATTAATAAATTGTGTTAATAACAGCATCTAGTTTTTCAAGCACCACTTTTATCCACACTACGCTTGCTGCATACACACAACCTGCAATTCTTTCCTTTTTACGTACTGTGAATTTTTTACACCACAACATACAAACTGAATACTCCACTTAGGATTCAGAATTAAGTTTCCTAAGAAGTTATTAGCTCTAATTAAGCAGCTCCACAATGGAATTTGTGCAAACTGAAAAGAAGGCCCGGAACCAAACCTGTGAGCTACCCTGCTGCTATCAAGAAGTACGCGAGAAGAAGAATCCTTGCCTACTTTTGCTTTCAGAGGTCAAATACAGTGCCTGTACATTTGCTGTGTAGGCGTGAAGACTTGTGTTTGGGAAACTACACGTGCTGCCCTTGCTCCAACTATCAAAACTCAGCTGTAGCGCATGGATACGGTCCATACTGTATGGACAGCTCTTCAAAACCAACAGCGTGGTACACTCATCAGAGTAGCACAGTATGAGACCCACCTCTGAGCAACAGACACTCTTCCTGAACTCACCACCAGCCAGATGTCTGACAACACTGTCTAAGAGGTGACCACAGAAAGTCCCTCACTCTTGGGCTTAGACAAACAGATGCATCCTGTTGGTTAATCCAGACCCTACATCTCATTCAACGATCAACCTACGGAGCTTGTGCAGACACAGAACAGACTCCTTTATTTACTCACCCATTAAGCCAAAACCAAACTGAAGAGAAAAGGCAAGTTTGCCGCCTCTTAAAAATAATAAAACAAAGGCAGATTCTCATAGAATCATACAATAACTAAGGTTGGAAGAGACCTCTAGATGTTATCTACTCCAACTCCATCCTCAAAGCACAGCTAACTCCAAAGTGAGGTCAGTTTTCTCAGGGCCTCGGCCACTTAAGTTTTGAGTTGCAATCCCCCAAGGACAGGGATTCCCAAAGTTTCAGGGCAACCAGTTTCAGGCACTGACCATCCTCAAGGTAAAGAATTTTCTTCCTAGTATCTAATCAGAGTTTTCCTTGCCAAAACTTGTATCCACAGCCTCTCACCCTTTCTTCATGCAGCTGGCTCAGCCTTCTCTACAACTACCCATTAAGTGATCAGAAGACAGCAATTAAGACTCCCCACATTTAGCATTCCCTCTCCAGGCTAAACCAACTGTGCTGGTTTTAGTTGGATACAATTACTTCTCCTCACAGTAGCTGGTATGAGGCTGTTTTGGATTTGTGCTGAGAAGAATACAGATAACACGCTGTGTTTAGCTGTTGCCAAGCAATGTTTGTATCAAGTCAAGGACTTCCTCGGTTTCTGATACTGCCCCTGTGTTCCCGGATTCTTCTCTACAAGAAGCTGGGAGGGGACATAGCCCGGACAGCTGACCCAGACTGACCAAAGGGACATTTCATGCCAAAGCAGCACAGCGTCTCTGAAAAGCAACCTTTGCATCTGCAAAGATTAGCAACTCTCCAGAAACTAAACTGCAGGAACACTTAGGGAAGAAGTGGGTCAGCATCAAGTTGGAAGGAAAAAGGAGGAACATTATATTTCATTTAAAATCTGGGTACTTGGTTGGCTTGGGGGTGAGTTTTTTGGTTTGGGTTTGGTTTTTTTTTGGTTGGTAAAGAAACTACAATCAACATATCTCATTTTGCAGTTAGTGTCAGCCTACAAGGGCTTTTCCAGAAAGCCAAAATGCAAGTGTCCCTTCTGTTACCTTCATAAACATATAGCTGTTTTATTAATTCTGTATTTCGTGGCAGCTCTGCAAACTACTGTAACTGTTGGCTCAGATACACTTAAGTCATGTACAGAAAATTCCTGTGAAACAACATTAGAAGCAAACAAAGAGGAAATAATTTACCCGTCACAGTAATTAAAGCAGCAAACAGACTGCATTTTTTCTAGTTGAAAATGCGCTTATTAAAAACATGTTTACTTCCAGGCAATGTGAAAACTACCCTTCCTTTTCCAGTTTTTTTTAAAACCAAGTGTTCCAATTCAGCAGTTCTGAGTTTCTTTCTAATTTCCTGAAGTTATAAGACACTGATGAATTGGCAAGAAAAAGAATTATTACTATTAAACCTGCCATGAAAAAAGTAAGTGATGAGATTTTTGTTAACTGGCACCAGCTGCTCTAAAGCTACATGGCTCTCGTGAGGCACCAAGATCACCTACTTGATTTCTTAAGTGTGTACTGCGTGCCACAAGTCTTCAGAGTCACCTCTAGTGTACAACCATGAACTGACAAGTTTGAGTTCACTACATACCTACTGCTTAAAACCAGTTTCTGCTAAATAGTTCCTGGGCAGCTAAAGAGAGGAAGAGGCTTTTGAAAGCTGTTCTGCAAGGGAACACCAGCTGGAATTACAGACCATAGCTTCTCAAGCCTCTCTATTTACAGCGACATCCTGGTTTGCACAAGCGACAAGTTGCACAAACCAAAATGGGTGCTTCCAACTCAGTATCAGAAAACCTAACTGGCTGCAAATGTTTAAACGCAGAATTACCTGGCTGGGCATATTTTCACTTCTAGATCATTAAACGTTACCCATATCTTAGACATCTCCTCTATCAGTACATTAACACACATAGATGAACAACTGTTGCACACCTGATGACTGACAAAATCCTGTGCCAGCAGACAGCATTAAGTTTTCGGTCACTGGCATAATTTTCTGCTCATCACTGCTTCCATCACCTGTTGAGTTCTGTTCATCATTTTCATCATTTTCTTCCTTATCAGACGAGGAAGAGGAAGTGACAACCACCTTCTTTTTTGACACTTTCTTTTTCAGGTTACTCTTTTTACTTTCTTTCACTGACCCTCTTTTAATCTTTTTCTTACTGTCTTCATACGACTCCTCATCAGACGAGGACGAGTCATTCTGTTCTTTCTTGGAGATTTTCTTTTTGAGACTTACTCTTTTCTTCTCTTTAGTTTCTGTTCCTTTTTTACTCCGCAGAGCATCTTCGGATGAACTCTCCTCTTTCAGGGGAGATTTCTCAGCATCAGAGGATAAACCAAGCTGTACATTTTTAGACACTCTCTCTCTTAAATTCCTCCTTTTCCTTTCTTTAAACGCTGGTTCATTTTTAGCTTTGTCATTTTCAGAAGAATTGCAACTACCTTTCTCTCGAGATGACTTTTCAGCATCAGAAGAGGAATCATGTTGCTCTTTCTTGTAACTTGTCTTTTTCAATCTTTCTGATTTCTTCACTTTGCTTTCTGATCCTTTTTTATTCTTGGATCTGTCTTTTGAAGAATCAAAACTGCGTTCTTTCTTTGCAGATTTCTCAGTGCTCTCTGAAGAAGAATCTTCCTGTGCCTTTTTCTTTTTCAAATCCTTGCTCTTCTTAACGTCGTCAGGTAGCTTTGCACCTTTAGGACAACTCTCCTCCTTCTCCAGCAAAGACTTGTCAACATCAGAAGACTCACTGTGCTTTCCCTTGACAGTTTTTTCTTTTATCCTTTCCTTAGCAGCTGACCCCTTACTGATTTCCTTATCTTTAGAAGAACGATTCACCCCCTTCTCTGGGGAAGACTTTTCAGCATCCTCATCTTCAGAAGAGTTATTTCGCTGTTTCTTCAAATTCATCTTCCTCTTACTACCTGCTTTTTTCCTCTGCTCTTCTTCCGAGGAATCATAACTATCTTCTTTTCGTGTGTATTTTTTCTTAGCTTTTTTTGCTGACTCAATTTTACTCAAAATTTTGATTTCTTTTTCTAACTCAGAATCATAGTTTGAAGAATCCGAATAATTTTGTCGTTTCTTTTTAGCAGCAGTGGAATTTTTAGCTGATTTGCCTCTTTTAGCATCTAAATCTGAACCAGAACTGGAACTTTTTCGTTTTCGTTTTCCATTTTCGTCCTTCACTGGTTGATTCTTCAGAAAATCAGACGTCTTCTGATCATTCGTTTGTGCTTCACTATTGCTATCAACATCTGAAGAACTGTGACTCATCATAGCTACTTCCTGAAGAACAGCTGGCACCTCATCCGAGTCTGAGCTTTGTTCCAATACGTATGGCTTTGAGTTGGAGAGTTTATTAGGCCTAGGACCATCAGCAGTGCTGTCAGTAGAACTTCTTTTATCATTTTTCCTCCTTGGCTGTTTTGATGATTTTCTCTTACGTTTTTCATTAGATGTGTCATTGCTGTCTTCTTCTGAATTCGACGTTAACGGGCTGATGTCTGTCGGGCGCCTCAGAGGTGTCGTCTTCACACGCGGTGACCTCCTGAGATCAGACTCCTCTACAAGCGAGACAGTTTCATTCTCCGTGGAAGGTTCACTGCCAGCATTATGATTTTGTGTTACAGAATCACAGTTTTCTGCTCTAGGTTTTACATCGACATCCTTACTTCCCTTTTCTAGATTGCTGTCTTGATCTTCCGCTTTAACTGTAGACTCTGAAAGGGAAACAGGAGTCAATTTTACAATCAATTCTTTTGTTCCTTTAGCCGACGATTTTAACTTAGTACCACCTTTGGTATCTTTCCCAGCAGTGTTCAATTTTATATTTGAATTTAGAGTCTCATGATCTGTTCCTGTACTTCCACTGTCTTGCTCATCTGGTGTAATCTGAATCTCCATAGCAGATTCTAGAGTCTCAAAAATATCTTCAGGAACAGAGGAGGGAATGGACACTATATCCATGTCTAAAGCCTCTGTGCTATTAGGTTCATACTGAGGTTCTTCACTTCTGCCAGACCTTTTATCTTCACCAGAAGTACGCTTGTTACCTGTTTGTTCCGCTGCTGGAACACTCTGATCCATGGGCTCACTGTCAGGCCGTTCTGATACAACTTTTGTCTGTGTCTTTGCAGTGTCATCCTCTTTTAATGCCACATGTTCCTTTCCTTCATCTTTTCTCCCCTCATTTTTTTCTGATCTAACATCAGGTTTTTTCTCTTTGGTATTTTTATCTTTGATTTTAACATTCAAAGCTTGAATCTCCAGGTTCAGACCTTCTTCTAGTGCCAGATGAGCTTTTTTCATGTCACTCAATACAGATTTAAAAGCTTTTAGCTGACAAAGTTGCAGAGCTGGGCTTATTTCTACATTTTCTGCAGCGTTTTTCAAAAAGCTTACAAAGCTAGAATTCAGATTTGCTGTAGTTTCAACCAGCTTTTTTGTTTTCTTAAGCAAGTCTTTTGGCACCATTAGTGCTTTGTAAGAATACGTTAGTGAACCTGAATATGAACCACCTAGTTTTTTTTCTTCACCATTACAATTTGAATTATTTCTCTTTGGAGAAAACTTGACTGTATGGTCAAATATTTTACTTTTTTCACTTTCAACTCTGATCTTTTTTTTGTTTTGTTGCAGTAACTGTTCTAAATTTTCAAAGACACTGTCACACGCAGTGACCAAGTCCAACAAAGGCTCTGGATGACAAATATAGCAGTGCCACTGGTTATTCTCATCCAGTATCGTCGATAGCTCCTTTCGACCCAGGTTGCGCAAAATGCACTTTTTACAGAAGGCATTATGGCAAAAGTCACAGCAAATCAGATTTCCACCTTCAGCACACCACCTGCAATGAGACACAGAAATGTAAGCGTCTTTCCTCCATGTCAACAGGGTGACAAATTTGAGAAATCACTTATTTTTCACTGTTTGATAAAGAACTTGCGTTTTAAAACCTCAGGTGATAAAGAGATACTCATTAATTCAAAACATCATTAAAAGCATGACTGAAAAGCACACAACTGAGAATTGGAAAAGGTAGAAAATTGAAGTATGAGATTAACAGTTCAGAAAGCTGAAATGGTCAGTAATATCCAAACACACTTTTAGCACCAATTTTAAATAAAAGAAAAAAATTAATTCTTTTCCATGTTTCTTCTGAGAATTTAAATGAAAGTGCTTTCTTTTATATTACAACAAACCGAATTAGCTTAGGACTTTCAAGCCTGAACTGGTATATTACTACTGCAGGCACATATTAAAACAACGGGTTTTCATTTAGGTCCAGACTGCGCAGTCTTTGATGAAGACCTGAAAAGTGGCTGACAAGTAAGCTCAGACATCACAGACCACAGAGTTATGACTGGATTACACGTTTAGATAGTTGACATAAGGACACAGAACTATGTAGTGTTTCCAAAGCAAAAGATGCATCTGGAAGGTAAGTTTCTGTGGCTCACAAGGTTTAGAACATCAGATTCTATCCCCTCCTTGAAAGTAATTGTAAGGTGGCATGAAATTTAGTTAAAAATGTGATGTCTTACAAGTGCTTACTCTTGGACTTCTTTATAAAATATTTTCCTGTTAATTACTAAAATAGCAATCAAATATTTACAAAAAAACCTGGGATTGAGCAATTCTTGGTGAGAAACAATTGTTGATTTAAGCTCTTACATACTGGTCTTTATCTGTCAATAATTTCATTATTGCAAGGGAAAAAAACCAACCCCACCAAATAAGCCAAAACAGAAGAGGTGTTATTTCAGGTTTCATACACTTACCTACACTGTTCATCCATTCCATCTGAATCACGGCTTATGTCATCGCTCATGTAATACTTGTAGCAAGTCTGTAAAGAAAGAGATGGGACAAGGAATTTTTTAATTAAATCTCAACTGGACTTCAGCAATTCATATGACTTCAGCATGTAGTAGAAGCAAGCCATTAACAGTAGCAGCTGCAAGGTCTTGAGCATTCTAACCCTTTTACGTTTGTGTTACTCTAAAAACCATCTTCCACTGACACAACAGGCCCTAAACCATGACTTCTTATTTAGATGGCTCAAGGATTATATGAAACTTAAATAGGCTTTCGTTTGATGGCTGCGTGTTTGCATATTTTTGAACATTAATTGAATGTTTCTCTTCAAATCTTTAAATTTTTTCCACCTGTTTCCTAGGTAATCAACACCACATCTTGCCTGACACAATCCTACATAAAATACAATTTTCAGCTGTATGTTTATGTCAGTAATCGATCCCCAAAGGCTTTAAATTAAAAGGTCTTCAGTATTTATCTTGATGTTAACATCCAAGGCTTCAGTTTCCAAATGCAAACATAGTGTTGCCACTGAAAAACTGGGAATACTAAGGAAAAATGCACACAACTCCACTAGTAGCCGCAGTGGCTTCAGCTGCTGAATTTTTTTAAACCCAGTTTTGAGGGGGTGGGTGTTCTTTTCCAGTTGGTAGTACAGTTCTCCCAGACTTGAAGATCTACTTTGAATAGGGATTAATACCAGCTATTAGGTAAATTCTGGCCTTTTACCCAGTGAATTCAGAGTCCAGAAGAGGCTTCAGCACCTGAATTTAAAATGATGATGCCCCTTTACCTGGACCAGAGTTACACACTTGTTCAAAGTAAACAAACAAAAAGAAACAAAAAAACCCCAACAGTAAATAAAAGCTGCTGTTTAGACACTTGGCAGATCATTGTAGTTGAAGGAAAACAGTTTCTCAAGTCTGGGAGTATTTACCTATGTCGGAGAAAAATAAGGAAGGAACTAGGTACAGAAGGTAACGGAAGGCATGGAGTATGCAATTAGGGACTTCCATTCCTCTCTCTCTCACATTAACATGGGGCATGTTCAACTCAGTAACGATCCAGACAATTCATGGGAAACAGCTCATGGTAGAATTTTGTGGCAGAGCTCCCAGTCAAGAACTGATACTGAACACCAGACAAGTTTCAAAAATGACCCAGGCATCTTGCAAGAGCACGTAGAGCTACATGGTAAGGATTTTCAAGTCTAGGAACAAGGGTTAGGACTGCAATGGAGACTGAAAACAGTCATCTTCTGAGCTGATTTATCTAAAGCATATTTTATAACAGAAACAAGCCAAACTGAACACAAGAAATGAGCCAGAACATTAGAGTAGATGGATGGACATGTCTGAGATAGGCAGCTGGGTACGTAACATTAATTGGGAACTGGGGAAGAAGCATAAGGAGGGAAGAGAAGGGGAATGCTACATGTGCACTTTAACGCAGATCTGCATCTCTGTCTTTAGAGATAATTTATAGGATCTCTACAACTACAGAGATATGAAAGACAGATGTCTCTGTATCTCTTTGAAAATGAAAAGAGGTCTCCAAAACAGGAGGTAGGGACGTTTCCTTCCTCCTGTTCCCATTGCAGGCCTAACTGAAGCCACCACGAAATCATGCAGCTGAAGACCCAGATGATGTTTTGGGTTATGGATTAGACGTTCACTGCAGAGGCTGCCATAAATTAACAGTCCAGGAGCTGTACACAAGGGAAACTGAGATGGCTTTGAAGCTACTCTGCCACTTCTTATGCTGACATTGTTTTACGTCCAATGCTTTACCAGGAGATCCAGAACTGAATCTGCTCTTAGAATACGAGTAGGCAGACATTTCCGACAGATCATTTAACATAAAAAATACTCTAAAATTATAGCCTTAAAACTGTAAAAATAAATTACAAAGAAACCACAATAAGTTTAACTGGGGTATAAGAAAACAGGAATATCAATTTGTAAACTGTATCTGCCTTTATGTTTTCTGCTTTTATTTCCTTAATTGTAACAGTTAATAACAAAAAAGTTTATAGGATAATAAACAAGAACTAGTCCCACAAGAAACCCCACCCAAATCAACTAACAAGACATTTCAAACAAAAACAAGCAGTACAAACTGTAGAACTGTTTAGCACATACCTTACAAATAAGAACTTTCAGTGTAGGATGTCTATAGATTGAATCCTTTTGAAAATGGTTCACCTGTTGCCCACAAGCTGTGCAGCTTACAATTCCATGCAGTCCTTCCTCTACAGAGAGGATTACAAACCACACATCAATTCATTTTTTCTTTTTTTAAGAAATCTGTGTATACATATTTCAGTTTCTCACAATATTTTGCCCTGTCAGGTTTTTCATGTGCCTCTATTACTTTACCACCCAACATCAGAGAAATCTTTCTGTAGACTGAGGGAACTTTCCTCTGATTTCTGAACTTCACGTGGGACCAAGATACAATTTCTTCCTTGAGAGATTTAATTTGGATTGACTGGTCACCTTACGAGAACACACCTAAGTAAGAGTCGTCACTAAAACTCTTGCCAAGCAGCCCTGATACCCTGTACAACCTTCCCCACTTAACTTGTGTGCATGAAATGCCATTTTAATTCTTGATGGTATTATGGTATTTCTTTCACATACAGTTTTAATTTCTCAAAGAAAAATAGGGAAAACTGTTACAGAAGATGCATGAAATCCCTATAATAGTGCTTGAAAAATCTTTTTTCACCTTTTGTTCCCTTCTTGATAGTAGGTTTTTTGTTAGGGGGTTTTGGCTAGGGTTTTTTTAACTAAAATTTTGCTATAATATATATGTTCTCACCAGCTTGCTGACTGTTCCCACAGTTTGTGTACCACTCTCCTACTGTACCTACACTCGGTCAATCCCCCCATTCACCTCCAAAGGTGGTGAACTTGGGGTTGGGAGGCTCGCTACATGCCAGGCTGCTCAACTAACTAATTAATACTATGAGATAGTTTTGTATCCAACAGCAGCCATGCTTTCAAGAAAAAGGAAAATCATTTGTGAAAGCTCATCATCTCAGTTCATACACTTTCAAAAGCTTCATTTGGGATCAAGCAGAGGTTTGATATGGGATCACTTGACTGTGCCACGTCCTTTGCTGTCATGTTCACTAAGCATTGTAAGGAATCTAACTCTAATGGTTAACTAAATGGTTACAGTCTTTTCTAAAATGATCGCTACCGCAGAATTTGAACCAGGCACCAACACCACAATGTTAACATTCTCAAGATACAATACAAGCTACCAACAATTTGCTGAAGCTTACAGGTCAGTAAGAACACTTAATACACCCTTACAATTCAGGGAAGATAGCAGGTCTGAAATGGTGAATATGAGACTTGGTGTTTTCCACTTCCATGCACGCACAATTGCACGTGCTGCAGAGCTCATGGACTTGCAAAGCTCTTCTTAGGACCTCAAAACCAGCTCAAATACCTGCTGGTTAACCTCGAATAAACACATCCATCATATGGTATTTCTTAGGCAAGAATACCACATTCTGTTACACCAGGCAGCACAGTAGCCTGCCCAGGCTTTGTCAAACATCACAGTCCTCAAATGGGTGAAAGAATCACAGAGGGTAACAGCCAAGTGAGGGAGAACAACCTATTCACTGCCAAGTCCCAAGCCACCTCCCCTTCTCTACAAGTTTAAGGGGAAGCACTACAGCCTCCTTCCTATAATCTGCAAGTTTGCACCAGAAAACAAACAGAAGAGGCTAATTTATGAGGCAAACCTTTGTAAACCCTGTTACTAGTACAAATGGTGATGATCCAAAGAAATTAAAGAACCACTAACTCATTAATACTGAGAAAATATTTAAACTTAGGGTTAGGAATTATTTTTGTTAGCAAAAATACAACCATAACCATGCTGCAGACACAAGACTTGAAAATAAGGACTGACACAATGCCTCCTAGTCTTGGATAGGAGCATCCGGATGCTAGAAAGGCAAGAGTTCTATTACTACTGCTATTTCTAACATAAGCAGGACATGTAACTCCTAATAAAAATGCCAAGGTGCACTTGGCAAAGAACAAGAGGGACTGGCATTTTTTATTTTATTGTTACTATTTATTTACTCGCACTGTGCACGGTAGTCAGGGTCTCAAGTCACTGGGACTAGATGCTTACCTGCTTAAACCAATAATGCTTAACTCCGTACGTGCACAGGCCAGGCACCTCATTCTTGTAGCAAGAGAAAGGGAAGTGCAGTGTCATTTAACTAACCTTGCTGCACGCAGGTGTACAGTAAATGGATCTGCGCTACCTCTTCTGCGCCCGTCACAAAACAAAACTGGTTTGAGACATTCCTAATCCAGCTGCTCTTGAGGTAGACTGCAGGCATGTCCCTCGCCTGGCTACCTTTCCTGGTCTGGAAATGGGGACAACAGAGGAGCAGGCAGTACCTCTTCCATTTCCCTGAAAGTTGACAGGAGCTTAAAGACATGTACTGGATAATCTTTTGACTGGATTTTAAAGCTATCAGTAGTGACACTGACATAGCTGAGCCTGCCCTGGATAGAGGTATGGCTTGAACAACCCCTGCTGTCCCTTCCGAAACTGTAAGCTTGTGTCAGGCACCAGCACATCAGTAACCAGTACATCAGATGCACAAAAGAAAGCCTGCAAATTCTCTAGGGATGGAAAAAAGCTGGAAGGGTAGGTCATATGAATTGTCCTGGGGATGCAGGCACAGGCCACAAAGTTCAAGCAGAAGACTCCTATCTTTTTAACACGACACCCCTGAAGAATTTCTGAGGGAACTCTGGTAAAATCGTTATAAACTAAAATGGAAAAAGCATTCTATAGGCTGAACAGGACATCTACATGAATAGAGCAGAAGTGAGTTTCAAAGATTAGTAACACAGAGGAAACATCAATGCTCAAAACGTGATTAAAATTATGCATGAGCCTAGATGTGTGCACAAGCACAATTCACACAGCCACACTCTACTCCTCTTCAACCACAGATGGAGAAATAGCACTAATTTAGCAAGACTTTAAAAGAGAGCAACTATCTCAAATGATACAATGGGAAGAATGAATAGTGTGTACAAGAGCTGTTAGCTTGTCTGAATACCCTGGGTACCGCTGTAGGTGTGTGAGCTAAGATACTGCTGGTAGTATGAATGAAAATATCTCCTACTTTATACATAATCCTCCCTCTCTTTTACTTTTTGGGAAAAAATGAGAGATGAATTTCTGTTATCAGTTATCTACCTAATTTGTCCTCAGTTTTAGCAGCAGCTATGGAAAACCAGCTGGCACAGCAGCTTTTTAAAGATAATCCTTAGCAGAGCCCACTGGTAGGGGATTTCCCACAACTTAAAAAAAAACAAAACAAAAATGTCTTTGAATTGTGAAGAGGTTTAGGTTTCTTGATAGCTCACCAATTGGGAATACGTCTATACATGTCCCTGCTCACATACAGTTGCTTTCCTGGTGAGTCAGTGAATGTTTCCTTGTCAACAGTGCTCCAATATAATTCCTTAGAAAAGGAGTCCCTGTAACACCTGATTGCAACCAAGCAACTGTTCTGAACACAAAGCAAGGAGGGTCCATATGGAGTCCCTAATGATGCACCCTATAGCTACTGAAAGTAAGTTTAATGAGCACTGATCTTAGCTTTCACTGCTGCATTGCAGGGGCAGCAGTGGAGGCTAATTTCACCAAGCTAGAATGCTTAATGAACAAAAAGCCAGAAGAGTGGAGGTATTTTTAGGATAATTTATTGGAAATATGAACAATTTTTAGATGTACCAAATGTGGTCATAAGCAACAATTTAAACCCGTTTTAATAAATGTCTTAAATTGTATTTACCTCCACGCTTTTTGGGAGCCTCGGGTTTCATTTTAACGGTATTTCTGCTTCTAAATTCAGGCCCTTTAAAATCATCTTTGTCTTCATTCAGCACTGGCTCAGGCTGTACAACCACTGTACCTAGAATAATTTTATTTAGAAATTGGAAACCATTACACATCCAAATGAAGTGCAAAAGTCCTGATTAAATCAAAGCCAATATAGTACCTTAAAAAAAAAGGTGCAATCTGTTGACTAAAATTCAAAGGTTTGAAAGCACAGATGTTCACAGAAAAAAAAAAACCACCGACACACACCCCACCACACACTTCAAACTATGTCTGGTTTTGTAGGACAAAGACTGAATGGGCTCTGAGGAGCAAATTCTGCTCTCTCTGCCCTGATGTGGTTCGTGCAGAACAGGACTGTCATACTGCAGGGTGTGTGGACTACAGAATTTACGGTGCAATGCTACAAATAAAGGGCTTTGGTTAGGTGTCTATCAAAAGCCTTAGAGTAACTACTATTTTCTCTCCCCTTTCCGCCTTCTATCCAATTTCCCTCATCTTAATTTCAGCATGAAATAAATGAAAAAGCAATAGAATAAAACCTGTTTTGTCTTTAATAAAATTTAGAAATTCACTTTTTTATTTAAACAGAGTACTCATCAAAATTATGTGACTGAAAAAACATCTTTCCTACTTAAGAGCTCAGTTTTAATACTTCTGTTGTGAGAACACTAGAATAATCTAACATTCTAAAACCATAATGTTAAAGCTACAAACACTGCTACTCCTGCAGGAAACACTAGCAGTCCCTCCAATTTGTCCTGTAACTTTCATAGGTGAGAAATGGAAGAGATCATCAAACTCACACTAGAGTTAAGAAGAGTGGGATATAGGTTGACAGTATTTACTGTTTTAAAAGGGGTGCTTCAAAATAGACCAAATAATGATATTTCCTCCCCAGATTTAGTTCTGCTTTTGTTGATCTAATTGTTAATAACCTCAAAGGCAGACAGTAAAGTAAATAAGAACCTGCAAGAGACAGCGTTTGAGACTTCTACGAAAGAACAGACATAAATTACCTTCCTGTTTCATGTTGGTTTTATACAGGTGTCAGTTGACATTTGGAATTAGGCCACCAGCACGTCCTGGCCTACCCACAGATTAAAGTATGCTGGGTTCAAAACTAAAGGTGCTTGCTTGTGCTTGGACAGGGGGTGTGCGCGCGTTCATGCGCGAGCACGTATGTCTATACCTAAAACCCAACAGGACCTAAGACAGACATTTTACTAGAGCGTGTGCATTCTAGTTAAATATTTATGCTGCATCATATTCTTGGCTAATTCGCTGAATTCAGAAACAAAGACAAACATAAACTACCTTTAGGCAAGCTTTTCATATCAACATCGTTTTCTGAGTTTTCATTGGACATGTCTTCAGTTACAGCTTCATCTACGACTTGTTCCTCATCTGATCCGACATATTTTGTTACAACTGTAGGTTTCCTGCATGGACAGAAAAAAGCCCAGAGTGTGACAAATACTACACACTGTAAGCCGGGCGCTCAGCAAGCACAACACCACATGAACTGGGGAAACCTGTGTGCTCTTTAAATTCATTTAGGACATGATGAGGTGGGATGCTCTGAGTTATTACAGTAAGTTGTAGGCTAATTTTCATGTGAGGAACAGGAGTTTTCCCCTCCTACGTGAAATAAAAAGATAGAACATATTTTTGTTTCACAGGCTTCCTGGTTGTATTTTTTCTTGTTACATCAAGGATTGAGGTGTTTTTAAGAAGGTAAGCAGGAAAGTCACACTTTCTGGAAAAAAAGACCGAAACAAACAGAATTGAAGGTTTGCTCAGAAATTTTATACCTCACTCCAAGCTTAACAGGTAGCGCAAAAAGAACTCACGGATATTAGCAAATGACAAAACAGCTTGGGAGAAAAGATGCTTGCTAGGAAATAAAGGAAATGTAGAAAGAAATGAAAAAGCTGACTGTTGAACAAAAGACCAGTTGCCAGGATTTCACACAGACATAATTTAGAATTGAATCCATTACAACGATGAATTTCCTATGTCAGGGCATAGGAAAATAAAAAAGTAAGTAAAAAAAAAAAAAAAAAAACAACAGAAACAAACAAAACCAGAATGTTGAGCATAATTTTCAGTAGTCTGAAGGTAATACATGAACTACTGTAGGATACTGTTTTGGACAGTATCAGGCTCAGAATGATAAACACAGGAGTGAAAATACCTTTAATGATAAATAAGAAGCAAAAAACCAAGACTGTAAAAAAATATATAAATAAAAAAGTGGCCAGCAGGTCACCGGATTCAGAAAAGGAGGGAGCAGCTAAAGTCACATATAAAACCACACTTGCAAAAATGGAATTAAGACAAACTGAAAAGGGAGAATGAAGAGTATTATTTCACTGCAGCAGACATAACAGACGAACCAAACTTGGATAAAAAGGGGAGTGAGAAGAGATACACACCACTTGTAAAGAGCAGTAGGAAGGCAGCTGTTGAAATCATGCATTTAGAAGAGCTCACCTATCTATACAGCATACTAGGATTTAAAAAAATCATGAAGGACATCACTTGAATGCGCATCAGCTGAGAGCAGAGGACAAGAAGGAGTTTTACTAGAATAAGTCTGCTGTTAATTAGATCACAAATAATTCGTCTCCTGTAGGTTCAAACTGCTTGGTAAGCATTTAACTGTGCACTTTTTTAAATCAAAGGGAGAAAAAGGACTAAGCAGAGATACAGCCAATCACAGTTTCTGCACAGGACAACTTAATAGCAAGTTTTGATTCTACAGTCCCCCAACAGTGAAGTCCATAAAGCCTTTTTTTCTGTATGACCCAACTTCCATTTCTGGAAGAATTCTGCCTATAGAAATAGCAAGAGCGAAGAAACAATCGTATAAACACCTCTGTCATGAAGATACGGGATAACTTTGTTGTCTTTGTTAATAAAAATCAAGCTTTATGATCTTAACCTTTGACCTGAAAGATGGTTTTCATTTTAAGTGCACTACAAAGCATTGTTTTACCAGCACTCTGCTAACCTAATGGATTTATAGTAGTGTGTACTGAAAGTCTGGGGCGTAGGGCATGGACTTTTTTATAGTTTCACATGCCAAAAAGCAATTTATTTATTTTCCAAACCAACCTTTTTGAACGTGATGATCCTACAGATCTGGTTCTTTCCGAAGAACTACTGCCCTAAAAAAAAAAAAAAGAAAAAGAAAAAAATTAGAAAGTCAACACATTTGTGACCAAGTGACCTGTGACCAAAACCAGTTTCTTACATTAACTAACACATCCCCAAAGCCACCACTGCTCTTACCAAAAAATCAAAAAAGGCAGAAAAAGCATTAACAAAAACCGATGAAGTGACAGACAATTTCAGTCTCCATGACAGTTCAGTTAAACTAAATCTATGGAGTTTCAGGTAAGTAGTGAGACTCAAAGAAGTCATCGTTCTTTTTAAAACAGATTTAAAAATAGGCATCCCTGGACTTGAAGCTAAGCCACTAATGCTCACTCACCTCCTGTGCATGTATCTCCAAAGAAATTAAAGAGAGGGCACTGCTGTACATTGAGACATTCAGAGAGAAACTGCAAGTATCTCAAGCACTGAGTCCTCATGAAAAGCAGGAAATTCTCTCCTGGCCATTCTCAACTTGCACTACCAGCTCAAAGTTCTCCCAGCTTTCTGGAGAAGGGACTGAGAACAGCTCATGACCATAGACTCATAGAATGATTTGGTTTATTGTGCATCAGAAAGACGATGAAGTTGTCCAAATAAATTTTGAAGTTGGGTTTGGGTTGGAAGGGATTTCAATGATTTAGAAATATTGGGGGGTGGGAGAAGCAGGATTGCTTGCATAGAGAATCATAGAATCATGGAATGGTTTGGGTTGGAAGGGACCTTAAAGATCATCCAGTTCCACCCCCTGCCATGGTCAGGAACACCTTCCACTAGACCAGGTTGCTCCAAACCTCATCCAGCCTGGCCTTGAACACATCTAGGGATGGGGCATATGTCTAAATCGAAATGGGTATCAGGCAAAATGTAAAATTCAATTTTAAATTTATACTAAAATATTACCGCTCATGTTCCTATTCAGCAGATACGATGACATTTTACTGCATGGTTCTGACAACATTCTTTAGGTATGTGTTTTAAAAGCAACAAAGCGAACTCAGCATTTCCTATGCTAGCCATTCCAACTACTCATGCAACCAAAATTCAAAAGCATTTTCACTCCTACCTCCTCTCTGTTGTTCTCCATTGCAGCTGGACTGCTTTTCGGCTCTCTGCTTTTACCTATGGAGAGAAATTAAAGGATTCCACTGAAATGCAAGGAATATTAGAGTTCTTCCCACTGTACGTCACAGTATTGTTTATGTTTCACCAGCATGAATAAAGATGAGTGTGACTTTCAGAGACACACCTGAACAAAACATAGTTCACTCTATGGTATTAATTTTACAGAAATCATTCCAAAATTACTTTCCTACTGGTGAAGAAATACTGAAGAAATATAAGTGCAACTGTATATGCAGAAATAATAGAGTTAGTGCATTTTTTTAATCTCTACGAAGTTACTTCAAGTTATTTTCTCTTAGACATCTTGACACTAAAAACACAGTATTAAATCTGGGATCGTGGAACCAAAGACAAAAATGCTATTTGATACAGGGTATGATACAGAATTCCCGTTTCTCCATCTTGTCAGCCGTGGAATATAAAACCTGAAGACATGCAACCTCTTACTACCTGTTCTATCCACCAGTCCAGGCAACGGAAGGGCAAGTTTCAAGTTCAGTGATTCAATGATACTTGTATGAAGGTGCTCAGGAGGCTTAGTCATAGCAGCATTTTTACAGATGCGCTACTGAGAAACACAAGAGTGAAGTGGTAGCATAATTGCAGGATACATACCATGACCATTTGTGATTTTAACCTAAGGCTGATAGCACTGCAACTTTCTACAGCCTTACACTTCAGTTTTGGGAAAAACAAACTATTCCGGTTTACACTTTAAAAAAATTAAATTACACTGATTAGAAAATTGAATGCTGGGTGTTTGACCTGGGCTGAATCGTTTGGGTAAATTTCAGGCAAAATTATCCAGCAATAAAAAATGGATACAGAAAAGGTTTTGCTCCACTGAGATACCTGAAATTTCTTCTGTGGAATATTACATGCATGCCCTCATCCTGAGGAAAGAAGTTAAAATTTTAAGGAGGGTGACATTTCTTTTGGAGACAAGACACTGTCCACCTTCTACTCTTGACCAACTTTGCCCAAGCGATACATGTGTGGAAAATACCAGTTTGGACGTGCTCAGCAGAGGTTGCTTTGATTCTGGCACCTACAATCTGTCGGTTCTACAGTCAGACTGCTAACGAGACTGCACAGGCGCTATTCCCCAAAGCGCCTGACCATGCTCCAGTGTGGCTGGAGCGCAGGTGTGCCATCCTCACAGAACGGCCAAGCATGCTGCATCCCCTCACAGCTCCTGGTGCTGACCCAACTGCACAAGCTCCATCCACGCAGGGCTACGATGCAGGGTTTCCCCCGTGGCTGCTGCTCTGGGGCAGGGGCTGCTCATTTGAAACAAGAGCAGGGAGTCAGTCTCTCCTACACTCCCAGGGATTCCCCTGCTGGCACCCCCACGATGAGGAGGGAGACACGCAGTTCGAAGGCACAGAGGCTAATGAAACATTAATAAGGCTCTAAAATCAAGTACTAAAAAATTAAGAAAAGCCAGAATTGAAGCTGCCAGCACAATTTCACTTGACCTATCATTCCTAGCACGTAATCATTATTACAGTACAGTTCAGCTCCACAGGGGTGCACAAGACAGAATACTCAGCGAGCAACTGCTTCATATTTTAATTGACCTGTGTGTGTGTGGCAGGGACATGTTCCAGCTCTCCTGAGCTACACTTAACCATCTTCATCATCTTCTCCCTCCTCGCAACACTCTAACCTAGTAGTTCACATAGCCTCCAAATGCTGGAACAAACCAAGTTCCACTGCTATATACACCTGATTTGGCCCCAGTCATGTCTACTGCTGAATGAGCAGTCTGTGGAGCGAAATAAATAAATAAATAAATAAATAAATAGAAGCACAGTTGCTAAAGACACTACGATTAGGCACAGGAAGTTGGGAAGGGAAATAAATTTGTACAGTTAATTCTGTCATTTTCCAGTATTTAAGTGTTTAATTCTTCCATTTTTAACTTTAATATGCTCTTTTTTAATAAATGAAATCTGACCTCTCAAAACCAACACTGAAACATGTCTGCTATTAATTACTCAGTGTACCCCCATTTCTAAGTGCATCTGTATTTTAAGGCAAGGAGCCAAATTATACTTTGTAACTACACAGGATAAACGGAGAACATTTCTTTTTCACAGTATGTTCCTCAGCAAAATTTCACTCTGAGATGCATCTACACCACAGTTTAGTTTAT